AACTATTTAAGATATTATTTTTATTGTATTGTTGATAAATCAGAGCTATATAAAGCCTGTCCCTTTGCCACTTCAGATTAAGTGTGACTATAACCTGTTAGATTGTAGTCTTACTTGCTCAGGATCACATAGGGGGGAAGAAATGAAAAAAAGAGGCATTAAACAAACAGGTAGACAGACATATATAGTTGAGGGGAAATTACGAAATTCTGAGTCCAGCTATAGTTTATTAAATATTTTTTAACTAGAAATATTTTAACCATTAGTAAGTACTCTAGTGGTTAATGTACACCAGCACTAGCACACTGAGTACACTAGCACTTGCAAGCAGTCACTGTTGGCCACGTGTTTTTTACCAGCTTTCACAGATTCTGTGGTCTTAACTCTCCCTCTGCCCTGAGCTGACTCTATACTTCAATTCCTTTACTCCTTTGGATATTCACCACCACATACACAAGCCTAGTCTTTAATATTCACATTCCTTAAACTATTCTGTCGCTTGTGAAGATTTCCTTGGGTATCTGGTATTTTCGCATGTGTTTGTTGCTCTGGCTGGGATGACATCAAACCTAACAGGCAAAGCAAAGTCTGCCCTGCTTAGTTCTGAGAATAACTGGTAAAATAGATGAAGAGGCTAAAGAAAATGTATTCCATCATTACAGAAGACTAGGAATTTCTGAAGAATGCATTCTAGTATTGTCTTACCAAGGACAGCTTACATATCATGTTTGTTATTTTATTAACAGTGACCCAACTCTCAGTAAAAATGTACCAGTTGTTCTGAGAGCACTGAAATGACTAAGGGTAAACTTAAGAATAAGCTTTCCACCCTACCCCTAAAACTCCTGTTATATGCATTGTTTGGTAATTCCCAGACACTCATGGAAACTAATGCTTTAGAAATCACCAAGCAGATTTGTTGAAACAGAAGACAGTTGTTCTTCACCCACAACAGCTGCTATCAACAAATAGCTACTAAAAATACACTAATTTTACAATCACAAACTGGTAACAGGCAAACATCATTGGCATTTGTGTATAATGACACTGCTATGTTATGGGCACAGGGCTGTTCTCAAAGTTTGGGAAGTTCACAGAGGAATTAGCAACTTACATTCCAATTAAACTCTGGGATTCTTTTTGGCACTTGAGTTCTGTTTCAACTGGGAATGATATAGCCCTTGTTATTTCCAGGTCCATACATTCACAATCACTCTAAAATAATACTAATACTACTACTAAGCTGAAATTTCCTTAAATTATTAGTGTGCTTTTTGGATACATTTATTTTTCCTTTCCATGCTAAGAGGATTTTCTTCTATCACTATTACTAGCAAATGTGGAACAAGCTGTTCAAGAAAAGTATCCAGATTAAAAAAAGTAAAACTCCTTTTATCTCTACCTTACCCCTTCTCCTTCCCCCTCCCATTTTTTTAAACTGTCTTGAATAATTTAGGAATAATTTAGTCCATTAACAGTTTTGATGGTCTTTTCATGGTGATGGAGGGACATGAGAAGAGTTCATCTTCTCTATCCCTTAAACACTAGCTGTTTTACTGCTAGTGAATGTCAGGTTTAATACAACTAAAAATGAGAAAACTATACATCTCTTCCAAATTTGCTCCTCGAAGACATAAACCCACCAAAAAGTAAATTGCTTGTGTTAAGAAGTAGAAACAGATGACAAAAAGTAATGCAACTTTATGTACAATATATTGCAATAGACTCTTGACAAAGTTTATGTGTTAGTTCCAATACCACATAGCTCTTTCAAGGAAGGCAAAACAAAATTAAGTATTAAAGTTTTTAACAAGCATAGTTTCCCATACTTTCAAATTTCATGTCATTTTAACAAGGATACCTTCCCTCTCACAAAGCTACCTAATCAGAAATTTTAAAGAAAAAAAAATCCATCTAAGCTGTGGTTTTCAATTGGGTTGTATAAAATTGTCCCCCATAGAAGGCATGCTTTCCAATTAGAAACTGTGAAACATTTCCATTGATATTGCTACAGCTTTGCTTTGTCACCAAAATAGACTTCATAAGCAATCTGTCTACAAGTGATATTTCAGCTACACCATCAGCAGCCAAGCACTAACAGAACACCACAGCTCCAGACCCTCACACCATTCACAGCATCCACAAACACTTTTGGGCCCATGACTGCAGCAGCTCCCACCCAAACACACCACTTTGACTTCAGCCTTGCAGTCAGTTCAGACAGACAGACAAATTAAGACAGGTTCCCTTCTGCAAAGAGCTGTATTTGTCTGGCTACCAACTCACCTGCTTAGTCAGTTACATTTAGGCTTTTATGTTGCTGTAGTTGTCCAACACCTCAAAGGATGCAGTCTGGCCAAGCATTCAAGGATGTTCACCCTACTGCTCAACAGCACTTTTTCCTAGCTTCTATTTAACAGAAGTACTGCAAACCTTTTGGCAACTTAAAACAGGATTCTAAGCTGTTCCAACTGAAAATTGTTTGTTTTGGATGGTAACAGCTACCTGTAATAAACAAAGTTAAAAGTATTAGGTGCTGTCATGTGTGATACCATGCTTCTTGGTCCATATCCACATAATTTTAATGTCTTCCTTGGAGATCGTTGTGTTGTATGTTACAATTACAAGTAGCAGGAAAAACTAGGAGACTGATTATGTCATACTGAATGTATATCCCAAAAATGGAGACACTGAGTGGTCTAACATCTTGCAGCTGCAAAGTATGAGAGCTCTTACCTCTGCCTTACAACCTTTAGTCACAAGAATATTTCCAAAAGTTATCTGGTGATGCTGTCCCAGCAAAACTGCTCTCTTCTCCAGGTACCTCTGTAGTATTAATTTTATTCTTCTGTAGAATAAATTTTAAAATATATCTTCTATAATTGCTAATAAGGTAACTTTTACTACCTAACTCATTGTTTTCCCAGCCCTCAACTTGAAATTCCCAGAGTCTGAACTGTTCACTGTGGATACCTGCTGCTTCTTCAAAGAACTGGTACCAGTAGATCTTAATGCACCTTCACTGGGGCCTGCTGTTTTTTCTGGACAATTACACTGATATTTCATTTACTTCAGTATCCTCACTTTCATTCCTGAACATTTTGACTGCCATGCAAAAGCAAGGGGATTATAAGAGGTATGGCATAACTAGTTGGCTCCTGTTGGAAGACATCTGTGATACATGTTGTCCAAACTGTAAGTATTCTTGGGCTCAAAAAATAGTTTACCTGCATGGAAAGTATCCACAACAACAAAAAAAGAAATGCTGTCTAGCTTAGGCTTGCAGTTATAGAAACACTTACTTGTTACTTGAGCAGAAATGTTTTTATGGTTGAATAATGAATAAACACATCAAGTTCATCAACAAGAGCTTCTCTAGTAGACTTTAATAAAAGAGTGTAAGAAAAAAAGCATCTGTAGAAATACAGCAGCAAGATTTAAAAATGTCTTACATATACATGTTGGAAAAAGAGGGAAAGAGAAAGTTTTGCTAATCAAAATAGGCAGCTAGTAACAAAAAGTCACATTGAAGAGTTTCACAGTACTATAGCATGTGTAGACATTTCAGTCAGTTATCAAGTTCAGTTACAGAAAGAAGAAATCCTAAAATTCAAGCAAGGTGGTTTTAATCTCTATTACATAAGATATTGCCTTCAGAAGTTCACATGAAAAGGCAGTTTATTTTTAATATATGGGACTAAGATACACAAAGTAGTACAGTTTTGTAGTCAGAACTAAAGAACAAAGTATGATTACTTGAACTTTCCCCAAACAAGAAATCAGACTTTGTTGATTTGTTTGAGAAAGTGAAACATCATATATACATTTGTATTAGCACAGATGGAGATTAAAATAATTTTACAAAATACCTTTGGTCACCTTGGCAGAGAATACCAACCATTTGAAAAAAATCCTGTAATCCCCACACACCCAAAGTACAAGAGACTCTTTTCATAATGCAACCCCTTCTCTGGCAGTTACAGATCAGCATGTTTTATAGGAATGCCTAAAACACAAACTTCATATATCAACAAGAACAGACTAGAATCCAGGGAGCAAGTTACAATTTTCAAGTCTGTCCCTCAAGACACTGTGACATCTAGAATGTAAGCCCCAGTGAGAAACTAGAAAAGCCTCTGTATCTTCTATCTCACTATTTTCAAGTGAAGGTTGAAACTTTATTTTGCAGTCAGACCCTGAAACAGATCTTCTGAACTGCCATGTGAGCTTCCCCCACCCTCGGAATGAACTCTTGATTGGAGGCAAGAAAAAGGAGGAGATGGAAGTGGTAACAAACATTGACAAGGGACTAAGATACAGGAGAGAACAGCAATGAAAAAATGTTCGTCAGATCTCTTTATGAATTTTTATTTACTAAAACATTCCTTAAAGGGTTTCAGCATTAAGTTAACGCCATAACTTGTAATTGGTAATTGACTCTCTATTAGGAAAGTAGTTAGACCTCTTTGAGATTATTGCACAAAAGCCTGGCAGCAAACGATTTGAAAATGCACAAATAGATCAGTTTCTGAAACTGAGTTACATAATGTTTCTAAAGTACAATATATATATATTGTTAAAGAATAGAAATAAAATACAATTGCTTAATTTTAAATCAAGTCCAGCATGAAAATATTTTAATATAGCAAATACCCCAGGACTTGCTGCATGCTTCCATAATGTAGTTATTTCATCATGAGTGTGATCATATTTCCACCCTCTCCCCAAAATGTATAATCTTGACAAGAAACTCAAAATAGATAAAATATAATGTGAAACATTTTCTTTTAATATATATTCCCATTTTGGTATTTAATGCTTAATCTATAAATAGATGCTCTCTGACACAAGCATGATTTATGTGTTTTTGTGCTGTTTTAAGATTAAAATATTTTATATTAATAAATCCAAAACAGTTCATTTTTTAGTTATACTAAAAAAAAAAAGTGAAAAAAATATTCTATTTCATTAAGTGTCAAACTGGAATTTGTCATTTATTAGTAAGTAACTACATGCTGATGACTACTTAAAGATATAATTAATTCACAAAAAGTATTGCTTATCTGAGTGCTAGGTAAATACTATATACAGATATTTAAAAAGTAGTTGAGAAACATCATGTAGTGCTATTGTTAAGAAAAGGTTTTGAGTAGTACAGAAGTTTCCAATAATTTATGTCCTGATTTTTTTGTGTATGTGTGCTACCAGGAAAAAACATTACAGGAGGATAAAAAAAATCAAAATACATATCCAAATAACTGTCTGCTAGAGGAACAAAACATCTGTTTTTTTAGACAGAAACAAAGTATTGCATTGAATTAAAATTTCTACTAATTACAATTTTAATTTAATAAAGTAATATGGAGGCAGCATGTGGTAGATTTAAGTTCATACAATCTGTTAAAGTAATACATAATCAAAAATTAATAATTGGATCTACAACTTTTAGGTTGCTTCCCATCTGTAATTTCAGCATAGCGCTACATATTGTTCAGTCTTGAAGGCTAAAATCAAGAATCTTCAATTCTCATTCTGTCATAAGCAAAGCTCACCTATACCTCGTCTTAAAACTTTTTAGCAGCATAGTCAGCTTTATAAAGAGAAAAAGGCAAAAATATTACTATAATTTACATATTCTAATAATCTTTTCAAGGCATCAAAAGACCCAGCTTGAAATTGTTATAACGGTTGACAAAAATATATTAACATACACTTGCATTTACACTTTCAAAAATTTGTAGTTAGTATTAAGTTGGCCTATGAAGCAGTAGTAAAGTGCAAAATACTTGGTATAATATCTAGGGATTGGCCTTAGATTCTGTGGAATACAAAGGATTAAGCCTGGCTCTTCCATTGACAGCTATGGTGTTTGATGGAGGACCAACCTGGAAGCAGGATGGAGAAAAAAAAAGAAAGAGAAAAAAAAAGAAAATGTTAAACTAAATTTCCAGATTTTTATCTCTCCAATATGTTACATAATGTTGCTTCATTTAGTGTTTCTCTCATTGCAATGGAAGATATCCTATTTGATTTCTTAACTAAGCATATATTCTACATAAGTTGAAACAGAAGACATTGCTTAAAAACATATTTTATCCTGACTAAAAATTTCATGCATAACTATTCAAAAGACTCGCAATTTTTAGCCCTTCTCCACATCAAAGAACCACTAATGAAACATTTTTATTAAATATTGAACAGATCTGATTTCTTACTAAATCTTCTAACACTTCCTTTATACCATAGTATTATTTCTTTTATCAGAAGCAAACCATAACTTTTGGCACAGATAGCCAAAGCTTGATTTTCAGTGGAACTGCATAACCCAACAGCTCCAGCTGGAGTTAATGGGAGCTGTAGATGCTCCACAGCCATGAGAACCACATACCACTGCACTGAGTTTACTAAACACAATGAAAACATTCTCAAGAGAAAAATTGTTAAAAACAAACCTCACTTGACCCATTTTAGCTTAGTAATTACTGAGGGCCCTATTGAACAGGAAAGACCAGCAACACAAAAGGACACAGATCTCAGCACTGCATACTCACAACATATTAAGTAAAACAGAGGGTGAAAAAATTTAAAGAACTTGGCAAGTGGTGCCAGGATTCTATTTTTTAAATTACTCTCAGAACTGCAAGAAGAGAGAGTGTGGTAAGATATAAAAAGAGAAGGATGGCCCTGATGGACATCACTCATTATTCAAATGGATTTTCCTGACTGCAGCAGAATACTGGAAGCTATGAGGTGTATGCATTCTACAAGTCCTCTCAATTCTCAAAAGGACTTTTGGGTGCAAATTACTTATTGATACAAAATGCTTAATTTCTCTCTCCTACTATTGCCAGTTCTCCAATGTTAAACATAAAATGAGACCATGATTTTATTAAATTTGCTGTAGGCCAAATAAAAACCTTTCTCCTGTCAGATATACCTGTGCCACAGCATATGCACTCTGAGAGTGAAAAGAACAGCCTGTACAATTTTATGCTTGGCAAAACTTCAGTGAGTTCTTCACTGCATTTTGTTTGTGTTCCAGGGGGTTTTTTTAAGCCTGGTTCAGATTTCTGTGCTGCAGATTGCTCTTCTTTATGGTTACAGCTTCTTCATTATTATAATTTCTTCTTAAAAAGTACAGCCCTTTGATCACCCCAGTCTCAACATGTAATTTACTGACAAAGCACATATCCCACCCACAGAAGAGAAAGGGAGAAGAAAACCAATTTCAGTCATTATCTCTCTCCCTTTCCCCATGCCATTTTTGTACCTAGACTGAGAAAGAATATATGGGTCAACTCTACACTAAGAACATTTCTATTAAAAAATATGAATAAATAAATGTGTCATATTATTCAGAATGCAATTATGCACTAGAAGAAAAAAAAAAATCTTAAAAATATATGCAAATAAAATCCAAACAGTATTTCTGGTAGAACAGATTTTACCTCTAACAGATTGTGAACAATACAGTGTTTCCTTAATCTTATCCTGTTATTAATGTGATTACTGACATGCAGTTAGAAGAAATTTTACAGTGTATTATATACCAGTTTTACTGACTAGAGATCAAACCCTACTTGAGCATCCTTGCAACTTTTCCAGGAAACTCAGTCTTCCTATTCACTGTAGAAAGGATGAGAGATTTACAAGCCTCAGAGAGACTGTTGCACTACTACACTGAAACAAAAAGCTATGAAATGGAATGTTCCACTATCTGACCATTCACTGGGAGATTTTGACCCGAGGGAATCAAAGACTTCGATAGAATAAACAAAAATGTTCCTTGTATCCACCTACCACACATCATTAGTTTCTTTCAAGTGGAAAAGAGAAGAAAAACAAAAAACGACTGAGTTTCTTTGACCTTCTGCAATGAAAAAATTATTCCTCAAAACAGAACGCAAAATACTAATGTGAGGTCAAGAAAACTTTGTGAGACTGTGATTGTCTGGTTGCAAACTTAAAACAGTACAGATTTTAGAAATGTAGACTGTTCTACCCAATGAGAGATGCACAGATTAATTTTAGGAGAGAAAGTTTCTAACCAGAGGGGGTAGGGGAAGATGGCCCTTCTAGGACTGCTGACAAAACATTGAGAAATATCTTAGTTATTATGCCTAACAGATTAAGGACCTGATAAAGTCTAATAAATACGAAAATAGTCTCAGAACTGTGTGCTATCTGCCTGCAAAAGGTTGCAGCCACTTCAGGTCTAGAACAAAGCTGCTCAGCCATACCATTTCAAACCATGTAAATACAAACAAGTCAGATTTTATGGACAAGATACTTAACTAATAACTTAGAGATTTCTATTTCATTTCAGGAAGATTTTGCTTACATTTGTACTGTATGAAAATAACAGACAGTTGAAGCTCTGTGGGTGCATTCACCAGTTTATTCTGCAAAATTGACCCTCTTCCCCACCTCCCTTCCCATTGTTTAGAGACCTCCCAGCAGCAGTTTGTGCCAAAACTAACTGCTTTTAGAATCAGGCATTAGCATGGTAATTTTGAAGGAAGTACCATGAGTTCTTTGTTTTGGATGCAATGATGAAAACTCACCCTTTTCAATTTGGCAGCAGCTTCCCCAGAGCGGATTGCAGCCAGCAAGCTCTGGTGGATCTGTTCGGGGTCAGCGCGCGGGAGCGTCATCGCGGTTTGTCTCTTGGTGACAGGGCGTGGGTGGTCAGGGGAAGCACCTGACTGTGCCTGACTCTTCTGCTCACTATGCACATGGCTGCCTTTCTATAAAAGGAGGAAGTGGAAGGAAAAGAAGCCAAAACCTTTTAATCTGAATTAGTTATAAATGGAAATCTGAATCAACCTGGCACAAGGTTGCATAGCAAACTGCTGCCATTCTAGTGTTTGCTTGGTTCAAGACTTCTGAAATCAGCCACATTTCCAGCATAGCATATAGTTTCTCTTTCATGTAATTATACCAGCAAAACTTTGTATCTCCATTCAAGAGTGCTTGTGGCATGACCACTTGAAGCCAAGTGGATCACACCACTCAGAATTAAATTTAAGAAACTAGCACACAGAACTATAAAGCATAATAAGTATTACACAGGATAAATGACTATCTAATTTTCAGTTCTTTAAAGTAGAGGCTGCTAATTATGGCAGGAAATAATTATTTCCAATCATCTGAATGATGTTGCTCTTATTTTTAACATTCCCTGTATTGCTCCACTCCATTATAATGCTGTGCTAGTGGTGGACACCACAGGGTGTTTTCCCTGCACAAATACAGTGCTTTCTGACCAGAGATGGTTCAGAAGCCAGCCTTTACTGTGGTTACATTTGATGGCACTGGATCCACAGACAATTAGTATTAGAAATAAAATTTACCTTATCCATTAGACTATTTTGTGACCCCGCTGTTACGGTCTGTAGGGAAGGACTTTTCACTTCAGGCATGGAGGTAGCTGAGGAGAATCCAGCTGCCAAGGGGACAGAGGAGAGTTCCACTGGCAATTCCTCTCTCGGTGCCTGGCTAGTGATTGTACGTGTCTTATTGAATGACTGTGACCTTTTGACTGCAGATGAGACAGCAAGAGCGAAAGGGGATGGTCTTGAACTAGAGTATGGCTTTGGAACTGCAAAAGTTCTGAGAGTTTTTAGATTCAACGGTGCTGGAGGGCAGGAGGAAAAACTTAAAGGTGTATTGCTTTTAACAGGAGAAGTGGAAGATTCAATGTTTTTTCCATCATCAACTTTTTCTTGATCTGCAGGAGGAGAGGGAATACTTGTTTTTTGTGAAACCAAAGAAGTCAAATCAGGTGATGAGATTTTTTTACCCATCTCTGTATTCTTAACTTCATTTTGAATTGTATTAGGAGCACAAACTGTGCTTCTGGCAACTGCAGATGTCACATAGTGACCTGAAGCTCTTCGTTGCATCTGCAGATAAAAAGAACTAGGCTTTGTTGTAGGACTTAAGGGACTTAAAGCATTTGACTTGTCCTGAGTCTCAGAAGAAGCATTTGTATTATCCAAGTTCAGCATCAGTGGGACATGCTGCTGGAAAGATTGTCTTTCCATCTGGTTGCTCTCAGTAGTAGTCTCAGCTCCAGAGGTCACAGTATGTTCAGAAACACTGTTCACTCTCTGCAGCAGACCGTTTGCTGCTGCAGCTTCATTTTGTGAACCAGCCTGTAAAGGACCCACACCTTTTGACAGACGAGGAATTTCAGTTTGTACTATTAATTCCTTGGGGTCTTCCAAAGTAGATACCTCTTGATCCTTATAATCTGACAGAACTTCTGATTCCCAGCTCTTCATCATTTCTAAGAATTTTGGAGGCACTATCTTATAAGTAGTCATCCCAATTTTTGGTATGTAATCCCTTGTAATTTCATTAGCAGGTTTGGGTTTAGGTTTGGTGTCCTGTCTATAAAAGGGCTGACCTTTTACAGGAGAGTCATCTGGAGTTTCAGCAGTTGTTTCTGGTGAAGCAAAAACACTGCCATTTATACAGATGTGACTCTGGTCTTTTGTTGGAATTACTTTTTTACAGGTAACTTCTTGCATCTCAAGATTTGGTTCTATTGAAGTATCTTCACTCTCTTGATGCATTCCATGCATCACTTGAACAGAGGAGTTGTTCTTATCTTTGTTGTGTGGAGGGACCAGTTCTTTAAATGTGGATGATTCAACACCCTGAGGAACAGTAATTTCCTTCTGCGCAGTCCTTCCCAAATTGCTATCCAAAGTCTGGATTCCAACATCCTGAGTTTTCACTGTGTCCAAGCCAGTTTGATTTGTTTTGTCATCTTGCTTTTCTGAAATCAGTTGCGGATAATTCCTATGACTTACAGAGATGTCATTTTTACATGCCTGGCAGTTTGATAGTCTGTCAACTTCAAGATTGTTATTTTCTTTAAAATCTACTGTTTTAATTTCAGCTGTCTGAAGTTCTTTCCCTTCTTCTGTTGTTGGAAGGAGTTTTGTATCACTTTGATCTTAAAGTTAAAGAAAGATTCCAAAATTAATACAAATGCCAAAAAGATTCAATCTTCCCCATTACATCATGAAGCTCTGCATCCAGTGCATTTAGTAACAATTATTAACTTCTCACTGATGCTAAGACTTTCCCTAAACCTTTTAAAGGCTATTTAAAGATATGTTTATATTGATTAATATTGCCAAATAGTTGCATTCTAATTCAGGTATTTTTCCTTAATAAACGGGCTACAGATGCCATGCATGGACTTAATAGAAAAAAAACTACTTTAGAACAATTTTAAAAGTATTAATGAATTTCAGTTCATTATATAGGCATCAATGACTCAAGAGCTCAAGGACTATTCAATATCAAGTAAGATGCAGTTTTTATTTAGTAACACACATTTAGGGCTTCTGTTCTTCAGTTTTAATGTTACAAATCTTGTCAACTACACCTTATGTATTTGCATAAGGAAACAACTAAAAAACATATGGACAAGAGCAATTTGCCAAACCTATATTTCCTACCCTATAGCTGTCTGATAATTCAATTTTCTACCCCTGGACTAAACATATGATCATCTCCCAAACACAGGAATATGAAAATTAAATTCTTCAGGAATAGTCATATGGAGTGGTAATTTTGGGGGGGAGAAAATCCTCATTTCATGTATGCTATAAAATGGCAGTTAAAATTTATATCACATATAAACAGGACTTGTGTCGTTATGATTTATTAACAGAGGTGTACCGAGTAGAAAAGACTATAGAAGGCCTAATATATAAATCTGAAAATCAGTGTCACAAAAGAGTAAAATAAATCAGTCAGGTCACTAAATCCACAGGGAAATTTATGACCCATTAGATGCACAGGATGTCGTCATTTCGTTTCAGATCAGTGTGTCACTTTCTTTCATTTGTGCTAAAAAATATTTGCATTTTCATGCAGAAAACTCACCCTAACCTCATAAGCAAAGAACAACTGACGGCCTCTTCTTCCCCAGTGGGATGTGGCAGCCATGTCACCCCACGTTGCAGAATTACCTTCGTGTTCAGCCTTCCCTCCCCTCAGCACTGTCCCACCCACACCATCCTCTAACAGCACAATGCAGCTTTGACTACTGCTAAAATAAAAATATATTAAAAACAAACCCAAAAATCCCCAAACTGCAGCCAGCTCTTGCCACCTCATCTCAAAGAAAATACACTAGAGTTAGGGTAAAGAAAATAATCTGGTAACAACAATTCAAGAGTTGACTACATGGCCATTTCTTCAAAGAAATAGAAAAGTTCAAGCTTCAAGTATTAACAAGTGGGAACTACTCACCATCAATTTTATTTTGATCTAAAATTTTAAGCTTGTCTGTTTGAAATCCAGCATCCTCACTGCTTATCTTAGTCTGTAGTCCTCTGCAAAGCACAACAGTACATTAAATATGCTGGTACCATTCATTTCAGTAAACACAAGGAATGATGCAAGAGAACTGGCAATATTCTCCAAACACAGATGGACAAAACAGAACCACTCTGCCAAACACTGGAATACTCAACAGAATCGATTTAAAAAAAAAAAAAAAGAGGAAATGCTGCCATGATATTTTACCAAAATGACATGCAGCTCCACTTGCTTCTGTGTAAGCAGATGATCAGTCTTCCCTTCTCTTCTCCCCCTTCTTTTGTTTACATGTGCAGTGTGAACAAGACACTTTGCAATAGCAAATCCATTCCAGTGAAGCCACAATGGTTTTTCACTCATTTAAAGTGTTCTGACACACCTCAATCTAAAATGTGTCCCTGGCTTTGTCCCTACCATGCTGCATGAGACACTGACTGTGTATGAACACAGGAACTGAGCAGTACAGACTTCTCAAAGTAGTCCCTTTCAAGAAATACCTTGAGAATAGCACAGGAATACACATGTTACTTGCATAGTAAACATCTTGTAAATGCATACAGTATCTATTTCCCTCATTTCATGGGAGACAAGAGAACTGCAAAAATGCTGAATAAAAACCTCATCTTTTTGGGGGTGAGGGGACATATTAAGTCCTTGGCCTCAAAAGGTAAATGAAAAAGGCAAAAATACTTAAAATTTCTTAATTAAAAAGTTATTAAAACTTCAAACTTTGTTCAAGATGTTTTTTTATAATATGTAGTTAGAAATACTGGCATGATGAAGATTCCAAATTATTTGCCCCATCAAATGCATTAGTTGTCAGAAGCAGTGCTTTGAGCTGACACATCTGCTTTGACTCATTTAAAATGATACATTTCTCAATAATCATCCATGCTCATGTTGCCTGTATAGTCCCAAGCATACTTTAAGTGTCCCATAAACCACTGAACAGGAGCATATGCTCTCAAAATTATTGTTGGAAGTTAAAGCTCAGTCCTGCACTGTGTGATCTTACTTAGCACCATTCTTTTTAACATAGCAGGGTGACTGAGCTAAATCTATTAACAACAGACTAAACTAGATTTTTAATAGGAGTTTTTAAAAAAATCTAATCAAAACCCACCAAATCCAAAAGCCACTAAACACCGTGGAGTATCATTATAGAAATCAGTGGTTTTGAGTAGAATATTTTGCAAATATTCCTAGTTTGATTTTTAGAAACACTTGTCAAAGTAACTAGATCTTATAAGATCAAAATTATCCAAAGTTTTCCAGAAATATAATGTCAAAGAAACCCCAATCCTCATTTTGGAATCCCCAAGATATTTTAGGAAGCAATTGCCAAACTAAAGCCAGAATGCAACCTACCTGATTGTCACCAGGATTATAAGACATGAAAGGTTACTACCAATTCACAGGGGGGAAAGGAAAGAAACATCCCCTGGACAATTAGGCAAACCGGCCCAATAACACAGGCTTGATAAATTGCAAATTCAAGACAATTTGTTAGATCCCCAAAGAGGAGAAACACCCAAGCAACTGGGACAATATTCACCAGGACAGGATTTTTGCAAAGCCACATTTGGCCTTGGACTGACAAAAACGTCCCTTCAAATACAAGTTAAACCTCTCTTTACTACCTTGAAAGTTCTTGGCTACTAGGGCAGCCACACGTTTTGGCTTCAGTACAATAATCGAAATAGTTCTTTCAATTTAATTTGGGAACAGTAGCCAGCTTAGTTGCCCCAGGGAACAGAGAAATAGTGAATTACATTAACACAATGGGACTTCTCTGGACAATCAACATTTATTTCAAGCAGGCACTAACTCATGTTGGAAACCTGCTGAGTCAGGTAGTTTAACAAACATGCTGAAGGGCAAAGGTACAGCATCACCAGAAGGGAAAAAGAGCGGTTAAGGAAACTAATGTGTTTATTTTTTAAAAAAGCTGAATTAACTTGTTTTCCTGAGAGCAAATGGATTGAGACAGGTCAAGACCACATATAAGGAAAGAAAAAATAAAAATTAAAGCCAAAACAAATATGCAAACAGTAAGACTCATGCCCAAAAAACCAGAAATGGCGATGTATCCATTTTCCCTCATCTGCAAGAATTAAGTTGTATACTTTTATTTAACTAATTAATCCAAATTTTTTTTTGCAGCATGCTGCTCTTGTAAATACACTGGGCATTTTAGAGCTGGGTTCAGCTTTTCTGGGCTCCAGCTGTTTGAGTAGTAAGGAAAGGGAAGATTAAACAGAATAGACTGCAGAACACTTCACTGTCATTTTTGTTGAAAAGCTTCATGAATTACTGTGCACAGAAGAGTGCTACAATGAAAGCTAAGCATATTAAAGCTCATTCCTCTCTCACAATTCCCTATTCTGTGCTTCACAATGAAACAGCACTCAGCATTTTATTTGCCTCCCCCATTGTCCCCCCAGTGCTCCTTTCTTTGTCACAAAACGTACTTACTTGCCATCTGTGCTCATATTTTCTTGTTTTTCTTCCTTGAAGCTTTGCGAGTTGTCTATGGGAACAGTGCCAGGAACAGGAGCTGATGAAGCAGGATCGTTTTTGTCAGCTTCCAGTGGTACCTCAGCAGAGCTGAAGGCTGCAGTAACCTCTCCTATCCCAGGAGAGGTATTGGTACTTCCACTGTCCTCTCTCTGTGGCACACTTAACTCTTCCCTTTCATCAATTTCTTCTAGGTTATATTCTGAGTTCCTTACATCTACATTCACAAAAGAAAGGAAAAGAAAGTAAAAATACCTCCAAACCAAGAAAATTTAAACTAATCCACAGTTCTTAATCAGGCTGTAGATTAAAACAAAGGAGACTGTTCAAGGCAGCCTAAAGAGTTTGAAGAAGGAAAACTGACTTTTTTTCATAACTCAGGTAAATTTTAAAAAATAATTTAAGAGATCCATTCAGACTTCACAGAATTCTGTTTCTTTTCAATTCTCTCTCTTGACACAAGAATATGCTGAGCACCATGCTACTGTCCATCTGGTTCTGTATCTGTACCTACCATAAAACATTTCCATATTTAACCCAAGTATTGAATTAAGATTGCTAAATATATTTTTATTTTTCTCATAACACCAAATTTCACAGTTGCTTTTACTCAGACTTCTTGTACTTCCATTAGATCTCAGGTGAGTTTTTATATACACAGTTCCTCTATATCAGAGTAGGAATGTCCAAGAACTAAAGAGTAACCCAAATATCAATTTTGCCCATGGTTTGAACAAATTTCATCACCACTATCAAAAATTTCCCATAAGCATCCTAAGTATATTAAGTGTCTTGTGCAGTGCTTCACGTCACAGTAGAAAAATAAAGTTCATAGAAAAGTGCTAATCCATAAAAATACTGACATTTGCAGCCAGAGCACAGTTAAACTAAAAGGTTGAGTTGCTGGATTAGGACACAAATAGATCAGCGTACTTGAAGTTGAACTAATAAATACACTTGACCAGGGTACTCCCATCAGCTTTGGGTGCAGTGACACCTGTCAGGAACAAGCCTTGCACTTGGACAATTAGGTTTCAGTCGAAGTAGCACCAGTAAATTTCCAAGTGTAAACCAAAGTCAACAAAAACAGAAAGGAATACTAGAAAGATGCAGATCCCAGAGTACAAAAAAAAAAAAAAGTTTGACTGACATTTTTTAGCAGCTCTAGTCTACAATGCTTCCAGTACCTCCCGAGAAGTACAGTGCTATAGAAAAGTAATAAGAGGATATATATATATTGGAGAAAGGCTCAGTAGAGAAGAGAAACTTTGATGTTTACAATAGGGTCAGTAGTTAAGAGTTTAGTAATACCAAAGATACTCATTCAGAGTTAGGGAGAAACTACAAAAGACAAACATTCGATTCTTGATTTTACATTGCAGTCTTGTAATAGTGTTTTGTAGTTACACATGAAGCAATGTGATCAACACATGCCATAGTGCTGAATGCAGAGTGATTTAGATCCCCAAGGAAAGAAAGGCAGGACTGCAAAATGGTGCAGGTGAGCTCCTTCCATGTGGTTTCAGCACAGGTACACAGAAATATGTCACTTGGGGATTACAGGACTCCAACAGGTTTACTAGTCATAAGGGCCTTCTCTTCCTTTCACCATCCACCAATCCCTTTTCCACCTAGGGAAAACTCATACCCAGCAGCCTCATACTTTGGGAGATCATTTTAGCGATGGCAGTATCATTTAATGTGTGATAAGTTAAATATATATGTCAAAATGAACAAACAAAGCATAAGAGAATGTGAGCAAACATTAAACCAGCTAAGATTATCCCACAGCCCATAACTGGCTCTCTAGAACATTGCCTCCTTCACTGGTAAGACCTATTATGCCATGGGCTTGAGCCATCACCAGCTACAGGAACAAAGACTGAGATTTTCAGTCTAAATACTCTATGGAAACCTGAATTATTCAACAAAGAATAGCCAAGACTTCTGACAGGAGAAGTGGAAGCATTCTGGAGCTTCTGTGGCTTCGTGCCCAGGCCCTGCTGTCATTTCTCTGCTGCTTTTCCTCTGGAGAGAAGTGTAACAAAGGCTGAGTTGTATCTCCTGGGATGGAAACTTAGCTTGGGTTGGCAGGAGACATTCCTGACATTCCTGCTATGTAAAAGTCTGTTCTTTGCTGTGCTAGAAACACTTCCAAGCATTGGGGTGGACCAACCTGACTTACAAATGGATAATACCAAACAAAACCAGCCCTCACACCTCCTCAAAAATGCTCTACCTCATTTGTCAGCATAACATCAGCCTTGCTTGCTAGTGGATTTTCATCTGTTACTGGGTCTCATTTCAGACCTGGGCTGTCACTGCTGCAGCAGAATAAAATCTGAATACATTTGAACACAAATAATATTTAACAACCAACTTTCACTTACATCAATGCAGGTAACTCCCTAGGGGAGCAGTTCAGATTCTGATTTGTTTCCAAACCTTCAGTCTATAGCTTTTACATGCAACATATTTCTAGGAAGAACTCACTGCAATACTGGCTAAATACTGTTGCCTTATTGCTTATACACCCGATCCATAGCTCCGGATGCAATAAAAATTTCATTTCTACCTGCATATAATTTATTCTCTTAGAACATTAGTAATTGGGTTTTAAGTAGCCCTAAAGCAATAGAGTTACAGTGTGCCACTGTGAAGGTAGATATATAGATAAGGACACATACATATACATAGATATATATATATACATACACACCCCCCTGATGACTGACATAGCAACTGCAAGTTTCCTTTGAGCAGTAAGAATACCCTTTACCCAGCAGAGAACAGGCTGGTGCTACTCTGTGAGCTCTCATGCTCATAAGCACCAGAGCAGGAAAGCCTGACTACATCATGCAAATCTGCTCTTGCTTCTACAGCCCCTAACAAGGTGCTTAATAAATACTGTAACCAATAGGATTATATCAAGTGATTTGTTTGATGGAAAATTTTCTGAAAATCTCTAATTTCAAAATTTGTTTTGAATACTGTTTTACCGTCTTCCCTAGAAAAATAAAGACTAAGCATTAATTAAACTTTGGGAAGATGGAGAAAAATCATAACTGATAAAGAGAATTGTTTATAATCCCAAATGTTCACATTACTTCTCTGTCAATGTTTATTCTAGTAGATGGGCGTCTTCAAACTACTTTTGTCAAGATACACACTGGTGTTACACCATGGGAAAACTATCATTTCACAAGAGACATGTTGGCAATTCCATACTATATAGCTCCATGTATACGTGTCTAAGTAGTGCATACCTAACAGACACCAAATTGAACATTTGCAGTCGTTCATTTTAGGGCAAAAGGCAACACTGTATTTGCACCTTAGGGTTTATTGCTTATTTGCTGAAGCAGCACTGCACAACAGAACCCTGCTGGAATGCCAGTCACAGCTGAACAAAAACTCACAATGCTTCCCAGATGCCTGACAATCAAAGCAATATTAATCCAAATGGAAGGAACTCCTGTTTTTTTGTAAAGTTAATTATGTCCAGCTTTGCAATTTAAGTGATACTGAGCTATTTTATCCATTTAAAACAATACCCATGCATGGATAATTTTCAGACTAGTAATAGGACAGGTGTGCTGCATCTGATTTTGCTGCAGGTTAATATTGGTTCTCAGAGCATGAGAGGCTTTGCTAAAAGGACCCTTTATACACAGGCCTCAAGACAGTTTCAGAGATGCCACCAGAGAGCAGCAGTATCCCATGAGAAAAAAAAAGAGGCAATGAAGCTCTGCTATGTGACTTCTATGTACATTTTTAAAAGATTGCACTACATTAAGTCTTCAGCAAAGGACACTGCATGAAGACATAAGGAAAACCAGAGACTGAAGATTGTCACTAACTGTAGAGGAAAATCCAAAGGCTCAACATAGACTGCCCTAAGCTCAGTAAAGATGATTACCTTTTTCTATTTCTTTCCATTACAGCTTAAATTAAAATACTTAATTACAGAACTCAAATGCCTCAAGCAGAAGTTTCTAAATCTATGGAAAAATAAATAAGCCATTTCTTTGAATTTCAGGGCTGTTTATCTACACAGCAATTGGACATTACAGTGATGGGAAAGGCAGAAATTCTAGCACAGATCGACAATCTTAGGATAGAAACAAATACAAGAAAACAAAAAACTTGATTTTATCACAGTATGATAAATTTGTTCATTTTAGACCCACTGTATGTAGATAGTTTTCAAGGCACAAAGTTCAGTACTAATAAACAAACCACTCACTCAATTTATTATTCTCTTTCATCTGCTACAACAGCTAGGACAAGGAAAGGTTACAACTTTGTTAGATCTTCAACCCCACAGTACAGGTTCCTTCTCCCATTTACTATATTACATATTGTTTCACTTTAATGTCTTCTCCAATAATTTACATAAATTGCCCTAAACACAAACCAAGCCCAAATTACTGATTTTTTTTTTCCCCCTTTGCCAGAGACCTAGCATCCTAGCAGATTACTTTTTCAGCTCTTGTGGTACATTTTTATTTTACCACTCCAAACAATTTGACTGGCATCCAGAATAAAACAGCTGGAAAACTACTTACAAATTCCTGTCAACTAGCACAGTAACTGAGTGCTCAGCCTCATATAATGACAGCAGCACTCCACAGGCTTAGCATTTATATACTTCATTCTTATTAAATGCATTGAAGAGTTATTTTTTCAGACTGCATTGGCACTGATTATTCTAAAAGCTTTTGCAAATTTTAGAAGACTTCTAGATGCTGTATCTTGTAGCTGAACTCTACAGTCTGGTGCTTACAAACAACAGTATTTCACAGTACAAACTGCATAAATTTAAAAAAGCATTATGTTCAGCTGCTAAATAATTGTATTTTAAGCAGCTATACTTTCATATATCATTTTTCCCATAACGCCCTAACACCCAACAAATAATTTAATGTATAAACAACTATTTATGCATTCCGTTTAGATTTACAACTTATGTTTTCAAAGGCTGTTCAGATGCCAACCAAAAGCCAGGCACAGATTTGCTCCAGCCCCTATGTTATGCAGGTCAAGGGCAGCACAAGGCAGGGTTCTAAAAACAACACTGGGCTTTAGCTTTTGAAAAGCTTGTTATGAGGTAGAAAAAAAAAAAAATCACAGTAATTCTGGGTAGTTCTTCTCTGTAATTTGTGAGGAAGGAGAGAAAACAGGGATAATGTTTAGTTTATCAAATGTAAAGCACAGATACCAATACAAAACATATTGTATTTATTTCTGTAGAAAACAAAGGTAAAATATTTTTTATCTAAATCTATCTATCCTTTAGATAGACAGAAAGCTGCATTTTTATTTCAAAAGAAAACTTAGTTGAACTGAAGCATTAAAATTAGGTCTATACTTATGACACATCTATAGTATAGCAATTTATTGCTATGAATTATCTTAACTTGTTATGAAGTAAATTTTATCAGTACTTTTGTAGAAAGAACCAACCTGTTTCAGGCTTCGTTTCAGTGGCTCTTCCTTCTGCTTTAGTGGAGGCTGATTCTGTTGACTCTGTTACTGCAAAAAGTGAAGCAACAACCTTTACCATCTCTCAGTTTCAGCACTAAGAAAAGTTCTAGATAAAATGTTACAGTGGTCATACAGACTATGATTTCTTCAAGAAACTCCTCTGAAGCAACTAGTGCTGATTGCCACATTTTCCAGATATTTTTATCTCAACTCTCAGGTATTTTTGAACCAGAAAATTGAATTTTTGATCAAACTGAAGAATTACAAGACAACAAGTAGACTTTCTCTAAGATTCTTCTAGTTAGACCATTTGCTATTACACTCCGATCCAGAGAAGCTAATCTTTTCTCCCACCCCAAGCAGTCCACCTGAGTAACATATACACAATTCTATACTTAACCTAACTATAATTAATTTGGTATTGTCTGTGTTTTCTTCTGATCTGCATGCTCTAAATACCTCTCTTTCTCACACTTGTGGGAAAATAACAGAACAGTGGTGAGGAGGATTGCAAACACACGCAAGAGACTTGCAGTAGGGGTGAAAAAACCCATTTATATGCTATTAATTGCTGCTTAGTCCTGTGTGTTTGACAAGTGGAACAGCTGCGTTCAGGTAATACAGGTGTGTGACAGACTTACAAGGCATCTTATGGGACATGCTGGAGATTCCTGCCCTGCTGTGGCAAAGATCAAAGCGCTGTGGTAAATACACCTGTGTGAATCCCTGACACAGAGGGAAGGGAGCAGGTTTGGCCATTGTCTGGCGTGGACTGAGCTCTGCAGTGCCAGCGTTCCCCCCCGGGTGCCTCTGCGAGGCAACAAAGATAAACGCACTCTTTGCATCCGCAGTTTTGTGGCTGCTCGCTTGGCTCTTATCTCACAAGGTGGCGTTACTTTCATGTTCAGCCAGCCACACTTTCTGTCGCCTTCCAATGAAACAGCACGGAAAAATTACCAGGCTCATTTCTGCTTTCACTGGGATCTTCTGGTGCTCTGGCGGGCGGTGCGGGCGCCTTGCGCTTCACCCTGCGCACGGAGGAGCCGGCGGGAGCGGCGTCGCAGAGCCGCACGGAGCCTGTCCTCGCCACGGCCACCTGCGAACCGACACGGGACAGCGACACTGAACAACAGCAACACTGCTCCGGTGATTGCTCTCCAGAAGTATTTATAATGGACATTTGGGAAAGAGAGAACGTATTACCAAAAGTATTCTGTTTTTCATCTTAAACTCTCCAAGGAGGTGTTTTTAAAGAAAAAAAGAAAATATTTTCTCAAGTATACATTCACAGAAGTGCAACATAGAGCAATAAAAGAAAATCAGTTGTTACCTGTAGCGCAAAAGAGAATTTGAATTCTTTTAATACCAAAGGCTATTCTACAAACCCAAAATAAATATTTTCTAAAAGTAGCTAAAATCATTGTAGAAAGAAGTTTCAACTACACCCCATCATAACAACATACCACAGTGTTTCCTTCTCCATTCTTTCAATAGCAGTCCTAATTGGCCTGAACACATAATTATTATGAATTTCTTTCCCTCTTTGAAATACCTGAACTTCCATAAAAATGTTTGGAATGCCTCATTTCAAAACTTATCAAGTACAATGTCTTATAATATTTAACGAAGTTAAATTTAGTAAGTTGCAAAAGAAGTTATAGCACACAGTAATGTTACAGCATAGTAATGTCCTCATTGTTGTAACAAAAGTAAAAAATTTTAATTCAAAAATAATCAAAACAATTTGAAAAATGGACAAAGGATACCTGCTGAAGACCTCATATTTTTAATGATATAGCTGTCCAATTGCATTTTAAGCTGTTTTAGAAACACATTCCCTGTTTCAGAAAGACAGTGGTTGTAAATTTGGCTGCCATTCTTAACTACAGTTTGCCTTATGCTGAAGAAAATTATATCCACATCTACTAGATGGACAATGTTCAGAATTCCAGCAATAAAAGAATGCATTTTGAAACTGGACACAGCTGTCTGTTTCTGTAGTAATTCTGATTCCTATCACTTGTCTACTCAACAATAATAAAATCCTGCAGTGACATTCATTTCTGTCTAGAAGGATCCACACAGCAGTTGGGTGTGGGGTCATCTCCAGAGAATTTCTCTGTGCTTCAATTAACCAGCCCACTTCACAAAGCACAATATCAAGGAACCGAGAAGACAAAGATACCTACGTATTATTGTTTCACTGACAATCCTTTCAAAACCATCAGACAATAGAATTGTTGACCGTGTCAATTTCCATGGAAAAAGATGCTTATCATTTAGGAGGCTACCACTGAACAAATATCCAAAGATTCCACAGTAAGTGGGATATTAAGGACAAAAAGCTAGAGTATTGTTAGAGTTGTATACAATCAAATCTATAAAGAAAAATTACAACAGAAAAGATACTGGAACAAGGTGTCTGTCAGGCAGTGTTTGCCTGAGAGACAAATCCCATGAGATTGCAGTACAACACCTGAATGAATGAACAGGGCTTTGAATGACAAACTATCCTCTGAGCCACCCTGGGCACCCTCAGTCACCTGCTTTGTCCCACCCTGGTATCAGGTACAACAGATCCACAGATACTGCACTAAAACAAACCCAAAATCCTACACACAATTCTACCCATCACTCTACTCTCAAAGCAAGCACTTCAAGCCTTTTACAGCAAAGCAAGAGTCAGGGTTTAAGAAAGAAAACACAAAGCACAAGGTGAAACATTCTTTTAAGAACACCAGAGGATAGGAACACAGCACTACTAATTAAAAATACTTGCATGCTTGAGTAGATTTTAAACAAGTCAGTTTTTAGATTAAAATGTCACACAACAAAAACCACTTTACACTTCTATGATTTCTTATTTACAGCTCCAAAATAGATCTTACAAAGTAAAAGTAATTAATAGTATTCAGCCTTTGAATTTATTCAGGAGGGGATATCAAATACAATATGATTTCCCCACACGAGGCTTTTTTTGTAGCCGAAGTATTTCCTGCTCGCAGTTGGGCAGTTGTGTTTGTGTCCTCTGTGGCAGCTGTGCTGGGGCTGCAGCCCCTGTGCTCTGCACAAAGCCACATTTCCCTGTTGCCAGGTCTGCAGCCCTTGTGCCTCACACCGGCTCCGAGCACCGAGCTCCGCGCTCGCTCGGCTGAGCAGATGTCACCAGAGTTCCCTTCTGCACACAACAAGTGTCTGTGTAGGGGGGAATAATGTTCTCAGCATAAGAGCACAAATGCTACTTGAAGATTTTTATAAGCCTTTCTACTGCCCTTTGCATCCGAAGAAACAAACAATTTGCAAAGAGAGATTTCAAGAAAGTACTAAATGTTCCAGTTAAGGTTCAAGTGTTGAACAGATTTTCTCAGGAATTATTCAACATATGAATATTAAGAGCTTTCATATCCTAACAAAGGCTGTAATGTGAAAATAGTACTTTAAACAGATGGAAAAAAATTAAAATAATGTCATTAAGACATATCTGACAAAGCTTTGGAATATACATCTGGGTGTTCATGTGTCATACCAGCTGCCTATGATAACCGGTGCTTTATCAGCTATATTTAAATTAAAATGATTGTTAGGATCACTAAAGTAATTAACTGTGCTCATGCAGAAACACCAGTGAACTCCGTCATAACTTCTACAACATATGCAGGAGTTCTGCTTTTAACACCATACACCCTCCTCATCCTGCAACGAGCAAGGGTGAGTATGAAAACTTTTTAGTCTCAAATTTGGCCCCAAATCTCACCCAAAGCAAACCCAAAAAGAGCAGATGCCAGTGCTTCCCAAGTTCCAGCCTCTGTAAGCAGTGGCAGACATAGTGCCTTCTTACAATTTAAAAAGAAAGCAAATAAGGGTAATTAAGATACAGTCATTTTGAAGCAAAAAACCAAAAAGCATTTGAGAAAGAATATAGAGGTAGTGAAGCATTTCAGTGTGCTGGAAAGCCTACCTCACACCAACAGTCACTAGACAGAGATTTCCATATGACCACATCCTACCTCTTTTGCTCCATATCTATGTTTAACAGAGATTTATAGGTGACTGTATCACGTAGGGATAGCAAAGCACATTGCTACTCATACAGCTGGTATTTTTCTTCCCTTTGTGTATGCAGGTAAACGTATCTCCAAGGAGTAACAGAAAAAAAATACGTATTTGACCCTACAATAACTCATGCACTCAATTTCTATTACATGGCTTAAGCTTTCCCAAAATACTTACACTTATCCTAAGTACTACAAAGGAAGTAATATACCTCTGATCCATTGGAAATAAGAGACATAGAGAATATATGTGGAGAAACTCAGCTGGTGATATTCTGTCCAAACAACCAATATGACTATTTTCTCCTAGGATTTATCTTGCTGGTCCAGAAGCAAATACAAGAAAGGAGTAAAGTTATGCATTTGCTATACTGAAAAGCAGATGCATGCAACATTCACCACTAATTCTGAAACATCTCAGAATAATATCAGATTATCTTCATGCAAACTTCAGGTAGTCCTGAGCACTCTCTTCTCCCTGATAACCTTGATTCCACACAAAATTTCCATGCTGTCCATAGTGCTCAATGCATCATTGCCCAGCTTCTCCTTTAAAGAGCTGACCATGAAGTTGCAGGCAAGCAAGGCTCTGGTGTAATTTATTCAGCATGGAACTCACCCCCACAGAAATCCTAACTAAGCTGTCCTGTGACAATGGCTAAAAAAAAAAATCTTTCCAGAAGTCCTTTATGGTTTAGTTGATTCCCACCCTTTCCCCATCTTCTTCTCCCCTTTCTTTTTTTAAGAGGTAGCCTGGGAATTTAGATTTCTTTAGGAGCTAGGGTTGTGTAAGTAACAGCAATTTTTATTTCTACTGTATATGTTTTAACTAAAAATTTTCACTTAATTGTTCCTACCCAAGAAGAGTTTACACATGTTCCTAAGAATAACTGTAAACAGGGTAAGGAAAGAAACATTAATGGGATAAAATGCAGATGTATCAGTCTAGGTTTTATAAACAAAGCAGTAGGAAGAAAATCAGCCATGGCATTTTGGGTACAATCAAATGCTTTTCTTTTAAAGAAGTGTTATTACTAGAAAATTGCAACCACTTTTATGAAAACTGTGAAGATACACACACTAAATTATACAACAACACTTTGCAAAAACCCTTGAGAGTCCTCTCTACTTGCAAGTGTATTTAAACTTGCTAGATCTAAACATACTTCTGACAAGAGTCATCATGCCCAGAACTAGAACTGACAAATAAATGAGGGATTTCAGTATTAGAGACTAATATGCTTATTTCCCATCTGAACATAGAAATTTGCTGGATAAATATTAACCATTTAAGCTTACTAGGCATCTCCCAAGTCTCATGTAGAAAAATAAGCACATCGTGCTTATCGTGCTTATGTAATCGTGCAATGTAATAACTACTATTTTCTCCCCTAAAAATAGGGCCATGTCCCTAAAAACTAATTTCATAATCACCTTGAAATGGAGGTAGAAAAAATTCCAACCCACATATCAGAATGTAACTACTCACACAAAAAGAAAGCAGTTTCTTTAATGGAAAAGTAGCAGAGAAGCTGTAGGAGGTAAACAATAAAACCCTTTTTCATACTGTGAGAAACTGGACTACAATATGTTGAGAATTTGAAGAAAGACAACAGTGAGAACTCTGTTCCCTTAAAGTTGGCTCATTTCACGTTGTCTGACAATACTACTGTGACACATTTCTCTCAAAACTAGACAGACAATTCATCCAGGCAAAACTGACATTTCACTTTGTCCTCCTTGTGGATGTTACAAGAGAGGTTTGTCCATCATAGGGCCCATGCAGATGGCCATGCCAGTCCATAGAAGAAATAAAATATGTATCCAGTCTGCCAAGTCAACTGAAGGGCAGGCTATGGAACTTAGGCATTGCTAAAAGCAGTATGATTTGCTATGAAATGCTTCTTGTAAGGCAAAAGGAGATACAATTTTTGTTTTCTCTTAAGGGTTACTTTTTATCTTCACTCTTGTAAGTTACTTCATTGGACATTGAAGTAGCAGTGAAATTCCCAGAGGTACCAAATATAGCAGTGAACACAATCAGCCTGGTGAGAAACCTGAGAGTGACTAAGTCCCACCAGCAGAACACACATTGTCAACAGCAGAGAACATGACAGACCAAATTCTTACATGGTTTACAATGAAACACTTGTGATCTAGTGTGACCATTATACTGGCCTCATTTACCGAGAGCTGACCTGGATTAAGTGAGATCTTTTGAGATAATTTGGTCCAACCTTCTGTTGAAAACAAGTTCTTATACTTTATTATTGGTTACTGCTAGAGCCTGTCAAGGAACATCTCAAACATTTTCAACAAAGAAGCTTCTGCCATTTCTTATGAGTGACCTATTCCAAAAGTCAGTTTTCACAGCAATGAGTTTTGTTCTTCAGTCTGAATGGAATTTCCACTGGAGAAGTTAATGCCCATTGATTCTCATCCTGCCACATGCACCCTTGTGAAGATTTCCCTGTAGCATTGTCCAGATATCAGAACAATGTGATTAAATAACATCTGAGCCTTCTTTCCAATAAACATTTATTTTCTCCAAACCTTTAAACATCGTGGTGGCCTGTTTCCAGTCTCTGTCTTGAACTGCAGGAAACAAATCTGGACACAGTAGAGCAGGTGTAGCATAAAATTACTGAGTACACTGATTCCAGGTGGATGACATGATCAGACCCCAGCCAGTACTGGTGCTTGGGACTACTTCACTCCAGACAGAGAATGTCATATGCATCTTTTTTAAATCTTATTCAGACTGTCATTGCCTCCCTGAATGGTGGCTGGAGCATCTGCCTCTCTGCCCATTTTGGTGCTGACTTCAAGTTTGTTGAAGGTGGATTCAGTTCCATGATGTAGATTGTTTATAAAGATATTTAACAGTATTGGCCATACTACCAGCTTCTTGGGAATCCCACATTACAACCAGTCTGACTTGGAGCCATTGCCCCCACTGAACTGCAGCCACTTTTTGTCCTATCCTGTGTTTTGTCTGTCCAGCCTTCATCTCACTTTTTCAACAAAAAAATTGGAGGAGACTGTGATGAATATCTTGCTAAAATAAAAGGCAGATGACCTCATCCTTTATTCTTGGATTTCTGCTTGCCACTAATTGACAAATTTCTTGCTCTTGACATCTTCTGCCCCTTGGAGCACCAGGTTTGCTTTTGCATTCCTAAGAGAACCTCTGCATGTCCAAGAAGCATCTATGTATTTCTTTCTGGGAATTGTTCTGCTCCCTTTTATTTTTGCACTTGAGTTCTTTCAGCAGCACATTTAAATAAGAGTGTTTAAAAGCATTTAAGTGTTTGTTTTCATGTCTATTCCTATTCCCATTTAGGAGAATGAACTACTCTTGTACCATAGGAAGACTGTCTCTGAAAATGTCTCAGTACATTTCCAAGCAGCAACTTTATTGTCCAAGGAAGTCTCCCACAGGATCCTTATCAGGAGTTCCCTGATCAAGTTGAGCAATATGTACTATGCCAAATTCCTTCCTTAGATGATAGGAAGGTAGATACAAAAAGACAAAATATTTTACTTGAATTAATAAATTCAAAGGAAAGTAAGTATTTGTCCACATTTAAGTCCTAAGCACTACACTTTCTAATAAACCACTGTGCAATCAAATCCCAATGAGAGAGAAATCACCTTAAAAAAAGCGTGCCAAAGGCCTCTAAGTTTTGAGTTGAACAAAGTAGTACAAAATAGAAAATATACACAAGAATACAACTTAATCTGGATGTCATCTCTTTGTAAGCTATTCAATTTCAGTCAGATCACTTTAGATTAGTAAGAAATGTCAGCACAAAATAATAAATCTAAGCAATTGTTTGAGTGACAGCCAAGCAACCATACACATTACTTTCAGACAGAATATTAATCATTTAAAGAATGTTAACATTTATAAGATATTTTTTTAAGAAATTGAATTCAATTAAAAAAGAAACACAGTGAAGTAAAAAAACCATTTTCTTACTCTCCCCAAAGGTTCCTTTTACTAAAATTCAGAAAGAAACCTTTGTCTTCTTCAAATGATAAAGCTTTTCAGCAGGACACAATACACAAAGGCAGAACTTCTGTTAAACAGTGCTCTCTTGTGGTTCTGTGCATCAGTGAAAGACTCAATCATTCTATAAAGGTAGTCACAGCCTGAAATGTCTTGTCGCCAAGTCTAACTCAAAATTAATCCCTCAGACTTGGATTAAATTTAGTTCTTCACTTAATTTTTCTAGCATGTCAATAACCTCATATCTAAAGACTACCTTTAGATACGGTGTTCAAAGCAAAGTATGAAATAAACTTTAAAATATATAATAAAAAAATTTAATCTTGCTCTTTAATTGGAATTCACAATTGACAATATGTGAAGTTAATACTGGAGGATATCAGGATAGCTGTTAATGCATCAATTCTCACAAATTCTATTGTCAGAATTTCTGCATGTCGTGGGATATATACAGGTTACTCAAATATGTAGCCCAGATCTCGTAGCTTGAATATAATACAGCTCAATTTTTTAAATAAAAATCTTACTTGAACTTGCTGGGAACAATGTTTAGACTGCTCCCCATATCCACTTTTTTCTACAATACAGTGTAAAGAACAAACTACTCTTTATCCCATGTAACTAAAACATCCGAAATTAACAGGAATAATTAACCCAAATTGCTAGTTATAATAAAGTGAGACGATTTTTTCATATTTAAAATACTCATCCAAAATAACAAAAAGATGCTTACAAGACCAATTTACCTAATAAGTTGGTTTTACCTCTTCAAAATACAGCAGCTACTTTGGTTATAAAGTTTAAAAGGAATGCATCATTCAATTTCTATAGTTATTTTCTAGTTAAAATTTTTGAAAGCAATTACTTCACTTTTCCATTTATTTCAAGCCTCATCCTATATTAACAACAGGGTTATCAGGGTTACCACGTCTGTACTTTTAAAGAGAAGTGAAGCAAATGAACTGACCTGCTCATTGCTATCAAAGCTGTTGGATTTCACAACATCAGCTGTAGCTCCAACTTGGGCTCGTGTGAGCTCCTGGGGGGCGCTCTGAGACGTGGGCATGGGTGGCAGAGGAGCTCTCCTTTTCTTTGGCATTTCAGCTGGCAGAGTGCTGGAGTCGTACTGCTTGCTGACTGTGTTAGACCTCGTGATAAATGTTGGCCTTGGCTTGCTCATCAATGGAGTTGCTGGGGCACTGGCAGCCTTGAGGTGTGGGAAATAAAAAGAAACCCAAGTTGTACGTATTTTCTGGAAAATAATCAACAGTATCGATTGCTTAATCTGAATATGGTTCTAGAAGTTTTCCTTACACAAAGTTACACCTTACTTGTTCTCTTTTCTTCTTATTTCTTTGAAAAAAGCTGAAAAATCCTTTGTTTTCTTTCTCCTTCAGAACATCTATGTTTTCAGATTGGTAGGAGCCTAAAACAGAAAACAATAGTTCTAGATGTCATTTCATGCTGAGATTATTTCTCCTGCCTTCTTACTATTTCACCATGTCATAAACCTCCTGCAATGATACACAACACATCATAAATCACCTATATAATAATTTTTCTAGGTGCTGCAAAACAAACAGTTTGTCTATCATCCATGTTCTTCCTCTCCTCCTCAGAACTCAGGGCAGATGAGTTTCAGCTGTCCTTAATACCAGCATTTATTGCAGCCCATCCCACTTGTCACATGCCATGGTTCATATCACTAAGGTGGGAAAAAGAGCATCCGACTTTTCAGCTCTCCATTCCTACTGGCTTCAATTTGTGGCCAAGTGTGAAGTGGGACAAGCCAGGCCCCAGCCTGCACATGGTGTAACTATGGAGAAAGATCACCCAAACACTCAGTCAGGGCACACATAACTGCATGGCAGTCATAGTAAAGACAGTCAAATCTGTTCTCCTTATCTTGTAGAATTTATCCTCCTTAAATTGCTTTATTCATGCAGAGGGCAGAAAATTTGTAAATCTCATGACTGACTTTTTAAAAATTTTACCAGAATGAACTTTCTTAAAGAAATCCCATTGAATGCAAAGGCAATGAGCAACAGAAATCACCAAGTCTGGTAAAAGTATCAATATAAACATGACCCTAAATTGAATAAACTGATCTAGGGTAAAACTACACAAAAATACTTTCTATACAGCTGTGTATATCCAATTCTGCACTATCATTTGCAATATGCATTTAAGATAGGACAGAGATAGTTATTATTGTGACAGTTAAGCAGATGTTATAATAGGAGCAGGTGCTAATGTCCCATAAGTGCTAAGTTTCACTGCCTATTTCAGTAAATCATACCTTGAAAAGATGGTAAATTTAAATCAACTGGTGATGCAGCTACAGAAAGACAAAAAGAAAGACAGAAAATGTGAATTTGAATCAAGGATGTAGTAACAACAAAGAAATACAGAAAGCCAAAGCGGACCTTCAACATTAGGGAAAAATTACTCTAGGTACTTTGCAGAAGTAAAGGGATGTGCATGTCTACTGCCTCATACTTAAATCATTCAAGAGCTTGAGCCTGAAGATATGCAACAGAGACTGCAACTGTGTACAAAAATAGGGAGACTCCACTTGTATTTCTGAAGCAAAGAGAAAAATCAGTATGTAGAATAAAAAGTTTGTTCTGGTTTGGATGGTTAGGCAGTCCAAACTTGGAAAAAAAGAGGAATGTAAAATTAAAATATAATATTAATTAAATTTAAATTGAATTTAAATCCTATTAAGTAAAAGATGCACCTCACCATTTACTTTCATAAAGATAATGGAAAATTCAGAGCTTTGAACCCGCCTGCACAATTGAAATGCTGAACTATACTTCATAATAAGAGAACTGAAGAGTATCTAAATTTCCTAGCAGGGCACTGCTGTGTAGAAAGTATATATGCCCTGGTATACCCTACTAAGGATTCTTGCTTCAAGTGAAACACACACCATATCCTGCAAAAAGCAGTTTTTCCAGTCTGTAGACAAAAGCAGTATATAACCAGACAAAAAACCAAATAATGCACTTGGGAGCACACATAGTCAAAGTAATACATTTAGGCAAGTTAAAATATGTAGGTTTCCAGTGTGGAAGGGAAATATTTCATTTTTGTTTTCTCTGTGGAAAAATGAAATACTGAAATGAAATGAATGTCATTCCGACCTTTAGGAAGTAAACAGAGAGCTCTTGAAACTGCAACCACCAAACAATAAGGTTACCATATTTAGGTAGAAAGAGGAGCAAAGACAAACAAAATCCCAACAAGCCTCACAGGTTTTAAGCAGAAATAAAATCAAGCAAATAAAACAGTGGTCAATACCCAGAGTGAGTCAATCAATATTATGTCTTTCTGCATTGAGGTAAAATTTCCTGCAAGAGATGTCAGAAATGGAACAAACTACACTTTACAAATTTTCAATTACAGTATACTAAACCTGCCACCTGTCCAGATGAAGTTAAAATCTGGCCTAGGAACCTCTGTACAAATATTAGAAAGTTAGTACATTGCATCCCTGTCAGACCAGAATTAAAAATACAATTATGATTCCTTCACAATCTATAAAATTAGCAAGCAGCACACAGAAATATACATAAAGACCATCAGAATACACTAGTGCTTTTAAAGTTTTAAATTAAAGAAAACTAATTTTCTCTAACATTTCTGTTCTTTTCAGGTCATTACATCATGTAGGAGCAAAGGGAAATATGTGGTTGTTGGAGTTTTTGGGGAAGGTGTGAGAGAAGGAAAATAAGGCTTTATGTTTAAGAAAGGATTTGTGCTCAGCTAATTCTGCTGGTAGTGAACACTCAGCTAGAAAATAAAACTTTTATACAGCACTTCTGTAAACGAAAGTCCAGCTACACGAGTCAGTTTCAATTTTGTGGAAGACAAATGAAATATATATTAAATTTCTAGAAAATATTTTCCTAAGTAAAAAACCCAACAACATGTATACAATTATCAAGCAATTATCTTTTATATAACCATAGTTTACAAAAGTTATCTTACCTTGACTGACATCCATGGCATACAGTTCTCTTAGTCCAAGATCATTAAGAGATTTTGTCATATCAAGGGGGTCTTGAGACTGGTAACTCTTCAGCAGCAGAGTGTGTGAAGGATCAAACTCACATTTGCTACAGATAGTTGGTATGAGTTCTTGAAGGGGTGAATGTGGACTAACTCTTACTACTGTTTTCTGTGTCTTCTTGTAGTTTATTACTACCCTTACTGTTTGCTGAAGAAAAGAAAATTCCAATAAATACCAGCACAAATTCTGAAAGAAACGGCATTTTTACAACAGCCTCACAATAATCACCAGAATTCCACTTATGGCCAACTCGAGCAGTGCTGCAGGTTCAGAAACATTACATTAGAAGTAAGAACTATTTTGCTGTTCCCTTCCATGCAAGAACAGGACACGTGAAGCAGACTGCTCTCCCCTTCAGCAGGGCCATTTGCCTGGGCAGCAAATGCAGGGTTACACTGGGCAGCTGCAGAAGTCAGGAGCCACAGGCCAGTGCCTGTGAACACGTGTGTAGGAGGAAAGCAGAAGGGCAGCAGAAGAACTCTCCTGACCCTCTCTAAGTGCTTCAGGTAAATTAAGAGTCAGTATTCTTCTACATAGCAGAATGACAAAGGTGGAAAGATTTAGGCAACATCCAGAAATTGGTTTAGTACCTCTTAAAGCTCCTGACCTCTGCAGGGTATATAAAAAAAGCCAAGAGAGAACAGTATGTATTGAAGGAAAATGAACATACAATCAGAAGGGTACATATATCACAGCATGACAGATGGTACAAGATGTTGATTTTCAGTTTGTTCAAGGCTATACTCAGCCACATTTCATCTGCAGAATTTTTCAAAAGGCTGAAAAAGCATAGGATTTCAAGTAACATTGTAATATTTCCTTCTTTCAGCAGCAAAGATGTTTGCTGCGACAAACTGGCATGTATTTTACCTAAGAGGAGCTTATCAAAAACAGACTAAAGTATTTCACAGAGCTTCAAGGTGAGAGGATGAAAGACAACAGGAAACACTGAAACAAGAGGATGAGCTACCAGCTCAATTTGTTGAATACAGCAGTAATTCTAATTTCTCAATATGCTTAATTTTAGTTCTTACCTCTGGTATAACTGGAACAGGTTTCTTCTTATCCATTTGTTTTGCCTTTACAATGACCTTTTCCACTTCAAGCATTCCCACTGGTGTGTTGGGCTTGAATTTAATCTGGTTATTTTCTGCTGATACCAACTCTATGGTATAACTTGATGGATTTAAATGATACTGTGCACAGAGAAAGATCAGCAAGTCCATCATGGGCTTCCTGTAAAAGACAAATGGAACTGTCACAACAGATGACAATTAAGCAGGCTATAACAAGACGTGCTGCTAAACATTTAATTCAAGTAATCCTTTCCCTTCCAAGACTAAATAATTACTGCTAGACACCAACTTGAAATATCTTCAAGCTTTAAAAAATATAATTAAAAAGTCAGCCCCTCAAAAAAAAACCTAAAAAGAAAATGAAACCAGTTTGCACAAAAGTATGCCAAGTACTTGCACAGAGTGGGAGCTTCTTGTTGCATTAAGCTTTTCCTGAGGACAGGGAAATCAGGATTAGTTACCTCATTTAACATTTAGTGGGAACTTTAACAGTGGTGATAAATACACTGTTATTCGATAAAAAGAGCTCTTCTGAAAAGTCAGGCATTTTTATATCCATTTTGAGTTACAACAGACTTTATTTTCAGAAAAGTCTGTGCATGAGCCACCTGGAAGATGCAGGAGAAATGAAGTTTGAGAAAGCCACATTTTCAGCAGGTCTTGCATTAGGGAATTATCTAGGTGCTTAATACCAACAGTGACAAATGACTGACAGTCATTTACCATAAGCTAAATGACAATAGAGTAGGCAAATGCCATTTCTTGAGAAGATCTGTGGGAAATAAGTCCTTTCCACAATGAAGAATGGCCAACAGAATTTGTCAGATGTAGTCAGTACCCGCATGTTCTTGTTCCCTCAGTGCTTAATGAAGAACATGCAGAACAGTTTATTAAGATAGGCTGAATATTTCCAGTTGCTACTGAAATACATTTAATAAAGTTGTACTATAAACAGAAATGTCATACATGTTTAAATAGACCAAAAGAAGGAGAATGTCCTAACTCTACATGTTACAGAACTGAATCAGGTTACAGCACTATCAGATCATTCCTCAATATTTTTTTTTGAGCTGGGCATGGACAATTTCATTGTGACACTCTCTGCACTTTTCAATTACAACTACGAACAAGGAAATCCATCACCTGCTCTGTCTCACAAGGATATTATGAAAATAAAAGTCTGTGAAGCAATCAAATGGTATGTTGAAAAAAATGCTGACGTGTTTCTGAGAAAATTAATACAGAGACTGGCTGGTATGGCTTTATCAGAAATCTTAAATTCTAGATGTAATCTCATAACAGAGGCAAGTATTCCGGTAGCACAGCCAAATGTGGAAATAGCTTCTACAAAGAACCATCAGATTAAGCAAAGTTCTAGATAATAAAGATCACAAATGTATTTATTAAGCAGTAAGTTAAAGCAGACTTCTCATATGATACATAGTTCTGTAAAAATAATTAAGAATGACTCAGTGTTAAAAGCTATTGTGAACACTGAATTTTTCCCCTTTAATTTACCTTAGAATATCATTCCCGTTTCCCTTCACTTTAACGGAAAAAATGTTCCATAAGCAAACTGTATTCTGATCTCTAGCAGCAGGGCTGGACTCTGGTGCACATGCTGCACTTCGAACAGATAACTGTTTGAAAGCTGGCAGGTATTTCCTTTCCAGAGGAAAGCTTCTGCCTGTTTAAGTGGCAAGAGAACACTTGCCTCAGGAGACAAAGGCAGGAGGAACAACAAAACAAAAAAATCACATACAGAATTGGTACTCTAGTGTGTGAAAAAGCAGTTATCAGATGGTCTGAAGAGGTATAGGAGAATGTAATATCCTTCCATGCTTTCACCTAAATGATATATAACAGCCTGAGGAATAGCCTGTGAAAAGCAGAGTGGTAACTGCTCTTCCCTCTTCAAATTACTAAACGAGGAAGTTTATTTCAATGCATCTCCAGTATATAGCACAACCTGCTTCAGTTACAAGACAGAAGGAGGGGAATACTTAATTTCTTGTATTTCTAATCCCTAATAAAACAAGTACATCCATCCCACTGTAAGAAGTAAAGGCTGCAAATGCAAATCTCATCATTCCCCCATTTGACTGGGGGCAGAGCAGGGCAGGGCCAGGGAGGAGGGAGCCAGAGGAGGCAGACACTGCTCCTGTAGTGACCTTTCTGGTTACCAGCAAATCCACTAAGTTACTGGTTACCTTTCTACTGGTCAATTTTATACACTGACTGGCTTTAAAAGCTGCCCTTCAGTTACTGGAGAGGAGTAAGAATGTCAGAGATGACCAGAGCAAGAACTGACAAGCAAGGATCCCAGGAAGCCAGCCATCCTACAGAAATGCACCACTGCCAGGGGCACACCTTCACCTTCACGTTAACCAGAGTCACAATAAGTGACTGCTAAGTGAGAATGTTAAGTGAGAAACAGCTGCTCACAAACAACAGGTAGAGATGCAAATTAGTACATGAGAACAGTGATTCAGTGCAAATTTGCTTTCCAGTGGTACTTCCAGAAACAAGCTGCTTGAGACAAGATATCTTCAGCAACTGTTTCAGAAAGATATTCCTGCAGTGATAAACAAAATGCCAAACAAGCTTTTCTTGTAATCACACCCCCAAAAACTGTAAAACCTTTTCCTAAAGACTTCAAGGATTGTAGATGGAAGACTAGATCTATCACAATACATTTAACAGCTTCCATAATTAATATTAAATGAAACACCAAGAAGAGGCCATCAGCTACCTCAGAGTACATCATCTGCTTGTCCTCCTTTATCTAACTTCAGTAAAATATTTATTTGCAACTTAACTTCATCAAATTACTCTAGGTTTTCTGGAAATCTCTGAGCATAAATGTATTTACATATTCAGACTTCTACATAACCAGGATTTTTATCTCACTAACACCTTGCTTTGTGCACATAGCCCTTGCTACCCATTATGCCAAAGCAGGGAGCAAACCAACCCCATTTAATCTGAAAAGTTTATTCTAGTGGACTGTGGAATTTGAATTCACAGCTGTTAAAACTCTCCATTTTACTGTTTCTACTATGAGATGCAAAAAGTGTTCTCTCCTCAGGACCTTCAGAGCTGCTCACCTCCAGTTACAAACGAAGAAAGAAGCAAAGTAATGATTTGTGTCTTTATGTCATTTCTAGAGGGATCATGCCTATTTGTTCACAATATATGACTATAAAGACAGAGTAGAACACAGCTAGAACAAAAGATAATTTGAAATATATTTCACAGTGGATTGCCAGTCCTTCACATCTCCCCTCATTCTGGGATGAGCCTAGTGCTAATACTGGTTCTTATTTGCACAAGAGTCACTTATGAAATCAATCACATAAAGTGACTGAAAAATCCTGTAACTGTGGGATAATAAAACTGATTGGGAAATGAGTGCAATGCCCGACAAGCCTGTAAGGCCTGTCTTGAATACTGAGTAATTACATACAATGTAATCTGTCCGAGTGAAAATAGATGCAACATTCCTTTCTGGAACTTTGTTCTGAGCAAAGCATGAGAGAGGGCCCATGGTACTCATCATATGGACAAAGGGAGCAAAAAGAACAAGAAGCTCCTGACAGTGTACACATGGAATCTCATGTCTAAGAAGACTTAAAAACAGAGGAAGGCATCATATTTACAGACTGCAGTATTCCTTGCTATAAACATGCTGAAAAAAAACAGTATAAAGCATCAAGTATTCCCATTATTTCAGAAAATTTCTTCTGAGAAATAAAATCTCACATTTCAGTTATCCTGAAAAATCACAGAGTCAGGGAGAGGTGTAAAAAGACCCACTGCAGCTCTGGTGAACAAGCTGATTTTTGATGTCTAAGCAATAACCTCATGAACTCCAGCAAATGACAGTGTGCAAACAGGCTCAAGCCAGATTTCATCTTTCATTAAGAAGTAGGTATAAGCATGCATTTACAGTACCTGGTATGAATGAATAAATAAGTCAGCCTGCTGAGTTTCAGTAGGAGAGACATGGGCTATACACTAACAGAAGGACAAAATACAAATAGGTTGTCTTATTTCAGCTTAGGATAGCAACAAACTGGCATCCAAATCGCTGTGATCCATACACAGCCTTGCACAGGACCCTTTTTAGTAGACCTATTTTTTTGGTCCCAGGATCTATCATTTCAGCTCAACAGTAAATGTTCAGGTTTTTCTGAACAAAAGGTGATTTGAGAGTTACATGCACGATCTATCCTACCAATTAACAGTCTGAAATTAACAGTTTGCATTTCAAACTAAAACCAGCTTAAGCAAAACATAATTGTTAAAAGAAATCCAAAGCTGTAGCTCTAAGGATTTTTTTAAGCATTACAGATTTTGTCTAAAGTGATGACATGTTTTTTTGATGACCCCCTAGTAGTCTACAGGTAGCAGTGCTGAGGAAGTGCTGAACACATAAATTTGTACCCAAATAGGATGAGCAAACTCATCTTTAATAAGTAAAAAACTTATGGGAAAAAATTCACTGAATCATACAAATCTATATTTTATAGAGATTTTTAGTGACTAGAAAAAACAACAAATGTGGCTACACATACTGACAGGTACTGTACAGAATTTCTGAGTCTTAAAACAACAGTCTTCTGAAATGGTAGGTAAATGTATAAAGAAGATGTTTTCATATCTACCAAAAAATCATAGTAGAATCACAGAATCATTTAGAAAAAGATCTTTAAGATCATCAAGTCACTAACCCAGCACTCCAAAGTCCATCACTAAACCATGTCCTGAAGTATCATATGTACACATCTTGTAAATACCTCCAGGGATGGCAACGAAACCACTTCCCTAGGCTGCCTGTTCCAATGTTTCCTTTCCATGAAGGAATTTTTCCTAATAGCCAGTCTAAAGCTCCCTTTAGGCCATTTCCTCTTATCCTATCACTTGTTATTTGGGAGAAGAGAAACTCTACCTGGCTACAACCTCCTTTCAGGGAGCTGCAGAGAGCCATAAGGTCCCTCCCGAGCCTTTTCTCCAGGCTACACATCCCCAGCTCCCTCAGTTATCCCAACCCTCTTAAGACTTGTGATCTTGACACTTCACTTTGCTGCTCCTTCTTTGGACACATTTTATGTTCAGCTTCCACATTTTACCAAATGATTAAAACCTGGATGAAGGTTGAAGTTTTTCAAAAACTTGAGCAGAAACTTGAAACTTCAGAAACTTGAGCAGAAAAGTAAAATTAAACAAAAATGTCATTCTGAGTACCATACCTCCCGTTAACTGTAGTGTACTTGATCACATCTCCTGGCAGGACCACTGATAATTCAATATCTTTATCGATTACATTCTCTTTCTGTTCCATGATGAGGTTGCTTGGCTCTGTGTTATCAAACGAAGAAACAGCAATGGATTTTGTTTCAGATGGAGGAGGTGGTGCTTTAGATTTTCTTCTGAAATAAACAAATAACAATTAAAAATCAAGTATGCATTTATATTTATACATATGATTCCAGACTGGCAAAGGCAAACTAACAAGTCTCAAAACGGAAAGGAACAATACTTTATGCTTTTCAGAATTAATATGTGCAACAAGGGGATAAGAGAATATCTTAAATATACTATCAGTGGTGAGAGAAGACAAAACAGGCTAAAAACAGACTAAAATATCCATCACAAAAAACCAAAACAAACAAACAAAAAAAAACAAACAAAAAAACAACCAAAAAAATCCCAACCACCCAATAAACATCAAGCCAAAAAGAGTTCTTTAATGTACCATAAAAGAATAAATTAGTTGGTTGTTTTTTGCCCTCGGGTTATGCAAAGACCCTATTTGTGCATTCTCCAAAGAGATTTACTGGATTAGTATAAACAGAAATATTGTATTATGCAGTATGAAGCCAATTGTACTAGCAGTGTGCTTAATACAGGATAGACACAGGAGCAAATAGTGACACTTTTCCTCCCCAGATTTTTCTTCTGGTTATTAAAATTATTCAAAGAAATCCTACCAGTTCTACATTATTTAACTTTATACAGTAATAAAACTACAGTATAACCAATTCTACAGTGTTGTAATATTTCCTGACATTTCTGTCACAATATGATTTCATGTATTCCCCTCACCTATGCTGATCTCCTATTTTAGTTTTCTCCATACCCTTTCCCACGTCAGTGACTTGGATACTCTTGAATACAAGGACTGTTCACTAAATAAGCTGCATTTATCTCACTAAAAAAAAAATTTAAAGCAGCATAAAACCCTCTATATCTCTTAATACATGTATGTTACAGTAAATTCTGAATGCAGGACTCTCCAAGTCCTGCATCTAGTCCAATATCTCCCTTTATTTAAATAACTCTCCACAATTAACCAATATATACAGAAGGAAAAGATACTATTTTTAAGAATTTTACCATTAGAAACAAAACCAAAACACAGTCAAGACACACTATGTCAAGAGAGCTTTTGAATTTCTTATAAACATTTTTGAATGGAGCCATATTACCAGAAAGTTAAAATACATTTCAACATAATACACAAAGGTTCCAAAATTATGCTTGTCATTTAGATGGAGCTGTACCAAAGTTTGATTACTTTAAACCTAAGAAAATAAATTAACCCCTATAATTGTCCAACAGAATTAAAACAAAAAAAAACTAGCATACAACTAGAAACACACACGTTTCTTGAGAAAACAAAGTTTAAAGTCACTCACAATGAAGAACAAGCAAGGTCCAGAGCAGCATTGCAAAAAACAACTGTAACGAGGCTTCACATGACTGATCTGTTGCTGAAAGTGCTTAGAGTTTTGAACTTCAGAACTCTGTGCTGAATTATTAACTATTCACAGCCCCTCCGAGCTAATCAGGAGCACTCTCAGGCCTCCAAAAACACTGAATGAGGATCCACGTTCAAAATTTCTACCTCCTCTCTCAATGTTTTAAATTAGTTTGGTGTGCTCTGTATGCAATTCATGATGTGCAACATGAGCTGAAAATTTGACTTTGGTCTCTACAGCAGCTTGCCTGGGTTGTTTCAGGGTTACACGAACATTGCAAAATGTATAAATCAAACTTCTTTGTATTCCTCCCCAGCTTCTTTGGGGGTTTTCTTGCCCGATTTTTAGTTTGCATAACTGCCAAATACAAATTATTACTAGTAGAGCATCAATACAACGATTAGAAATAAATAAAATCCCAAAACCATAAAAATTTACCTTATAACTTTAATGCCAAAAAACCCAAAGGGAATTAGTACTGCTTGTCCTCCTTTCTTTACACTTTCTTACATCTTTAATTTAAAATTACTGTTAAAACTATTTATCACAGAATTTAATCTTTGAAGAAGTGTCACAGAAAGATTTCAAATGCTAGTGGACTCTATTTTCCATTAAGTATACAATTGCAATTTTATCACTGGAACTCTACTATCACCAGAGTGCTTAATGACACACAGCAATAAATGTGGTTTATTCGTACATTATCTAACTTAAACTGCAGAGAGCTAAAAAACTGACCAAATACTCTCATTAAAACGTGTGTGCAACAGCTGAAGTTCCACGTATTTATAAAGAACACAGACACACGGGGTCAGGCAATCCAACAAAGTCACTGCAGCCTCGTGTCCCCCACTGCAGAGCCACGTACCCCACCCATTTCTAAACAATCTGGATGTGCTTTATGGTTAGTCATGCTTACCTGTCCCACCCCACACAAAGGAGGAAAAATACCAAGTGTACTTTCTCAGAAGTCCTGCCAAGTTTTTGACAACCTCTTATTAAAAACAACAGGGTCAATGCTTTCATTTTCTGTTTCCAGATGCCATAGTTTGGTTTTTTTTCTTCAGTTCTCACTAATTCTCTCATCTCTAGCTCTCAGTCCAAAGTATTTACATCTGGTCTCATTGTTTTGTCATTATTTCAGCTTGTGTTTCTACCTTACCAGGGGAGCAGCTGCCTAACCCCAGAACTGGTACTGAACAATTCAGGTGCCATGATTATATAAACAGGTGATTGTTGAAATACACTTGCAGAGGTAGCTTTTATCTACAAACACTCCTCTCCCTACTCTGCAATTCAAGAAGCTAATGAAAGTGATTTTCTCACCAAGACATCCTCCACACATATTTTATCCTAAAATCGAAAGTAACTCCAAGTCTATACCATCAATTCAAATACTTTCCCATCATAAAAACCAACAAATCCTGGTTCTCTCTTGCCTCTTAACCTATACCAAGTACTCAGCAACTGAGGAGAGCTGTTGATTTGTAATGATTTTGCTAAAAAGACAGAGAAAGATGTTTGTTAATCTATTTTCTTCTCCTGAAAACAAAACCTGTTATTTTAAGTAAGACAAAATACAATCATAACAAAGAGAGTAATTCCCCATCATATAAAAACAACACTTCAGAGGCCAGAAAAAAGGTGCTAAATGGTCTTACAGCACCTATCACGTTCAGACAGCTTCTAGATGTGCTAGAACCTAAGCCAACCTGTTCTAATGTTCAAAATAAACATTAGGAGTTAGAACTACCAAAACCATGCTCTTCATTTTCATGGCTACTATAGAATTACAGAAAAGCTGCAGGAAGAATCAAACAGCACTTACTTAGCTATGAATTAGTTAATACAGAGGGAATTAAAAGAAAATTTTTAACCACACGAGGTCACAACTCAATAACAATAAGAGCAACTCTGGAAATTGTGCTGCAGTATCCTACACAATGTGGGTCCTCACTCATTCCTTGCCCCCAAATGTCCCAGTCCTATCAACTGGCTGATCTTCCCTATACACCAGACATTGAAACTGCCCAAGCCCAACTTTCTGAAAGAGATGTGCTCCCCACCATTTACCATCAGATAAACAATACCAGCAACATATTATCTTCCACATAAATTTTCTGTTTAAGCTACTGCTTGAGCCAAAGCAAAAAAATATATGTTTCTTCTGATTCTTCCTAGCCCTGGACAAGGCTGTCAGAGGGACACCTGCAACACTCTCACAGGGACAAGGTGGTGCAGCCTGGCAGAGTTTCTATTTCCCTTGTTACCAGAGTACCTGGAGTCCACTGTTTATGCCAAGGCATTCAGCTTATTCTTATCTAGCAGAGATTATATTGCTCCCCAGAGAACTGATTCATCTCTCTTACTAATTTAAATTTCTGAAGTCCCACCTGCCAATTCCTGTCAGTCTGTGTGACAATACAATTCCAGCATTAAAGAATTCTTTCAGCCAAATGCAAATAGAAGACTAACATTTTTTTTACGAAAAACAGTGCATGTTTAAATCAAATCCAACACCATAAGGTCAACATTTTATGTGCTTCAGATTCCACCTCAACAGAATAAAATGTCTCTGCTGTATCTCAACAACTTTTGTGCTTGCAATGGAAAAAAGTAACTGAGTAACTATCAGTGATCTGGATGCACAGAAATCTTTTTAAAATAAAGGTCTGACACAGTAAATAAATAATGGATCTATTTATTTGGTTTTCCAAAAAATCCTGTTGGGAAGTTACAAGCAGTATATTTTTAACTATTAGTAACTAGAGAAAGGCACTAAAAATAATGAGAAATACTTGAACTTCCACTGACCTGGGTACTCCCAGGTTTTCATCAGCATTTCCTTTCAATAAGAACCTCTTTCCCAAAAAAAGGAAAAAAAAAAAAAAGAAAAAAGAGGAAATCTATCTGCTAGATTAGTGTACAATCAAAGGCTACAGCATCAAGGAATGTTACTGTTTACAGCACTTAACTTCCTATTTGGAACACAATTACATGAGAAGATACAAAGACAGCTTGATAGCACTCTCACTGAAATGATTTTGAATCTAACCTCCAACATCAAAACCTTTTCCTAAATTTTCTATAGCATTCACCTAGGACAGGAATGGTCATAGAGAACTCACTTGCAATTCAGTCATCTCTCAGGTACTGAAACAGTTCATTAAACATAAATATTAAATATTAAAAACCTTCTAAGCGCAACAGACAGACTTCAGTTTGTTCATTTGACTTAGGGCACTATGAAGAACACTGCTTTATTCAAAAAGCAACTAGCTGATTGTTAGGGGTTTTTAATCAATCTTTACTAAATTATATTTGCCAAAATTGCAGGCAGCAGTTTGTTTTATTTTCACTCATAGTCAGAAGAAGATTTAACTCTACTAAGACCATATCATGAGAGGAAAAAGTCCACTATAACAAAGCTTCTTCTAGAGCTTTTCCTGTCTTCAGCTTCTCATCTGAAGCAATTATTGGAATGCTCTCCTGACCACTGCAATAATGCTGTTTCACTGCCATGTCTTAGAAGCAGACAGCCAAAACCTCACACACAATCTTCTCAAATAAGGAACAGTTGAACAAGACTTCAGGCCCATATTAAAAACACAGATTTGGTTTTTTTGACAATGAAACATCAATTTTGGCCAACAGGTATACAAAATATTTAGGCTCCAGCCCAGTATTCATCTTTAACACTCACAGAACAAATCTGTCTACTAGACTGAGTTTATTCTGTTCCCTCTTTGTGGATAATAGTTTCACAGCAGCACCACTGCAAGTCTTCAAGATCAAACACTGCCCACTAGGAAAAAGCTTGGAGACAACTGCAGCATTACTATCTGATCTGCTCCTCACAGTGCAGCACATGACTGAAGTTGTCAAGGCAGGTCACTCCTATATATTTCATGCCTAAGTATAAATGAAAAAATACTTTAAAAATAAATTCTATTCATCTTCACTAAATTATTACCAGGGACACAGGTTTCTATACAAAACGTGGGATGCCACTAAGTGCTTCAAAAAAGGTTACTTTTAAGTTAGACATATAGTAGTATTCTAGTATTTTTCCTTAACGTTAAACAGCCCAAATATTTGCTGTGCCAGTCCCAGAACATCTATGTAACATGACTATCAGCCTTGATACTGGGCTTTCATCTCAACATCAATATCACTGTTTGATATACAAGCTCTCTTTATTTCTACTATAAAAGCACCAGTTAGATGTTAAGATCAAGGTATGGATCAATGAGAGTCAAACAATGTCCATTCTTAGGTTATCCCTTCAAGCCAGGCTTATGATACATGTAGGACAATATAAAGGAAAAATATTTGCTCTATCTGCTCCAGAGAGAAATATGATCTTTCAGATTTTAAACTCATCCGTTTAGTTATCTGGGGAAGAATGTGAGGTCATACTGTACAGGTATTGAGTCTAGCAGGTGGTTCAATAGGTACCAAGAAAAAAAAACAAGTTCAAAAACACAATTTAATTTCAATTTCCAGGTACAGGAAATTGAAATTTTACAGTTTGTAAATCATTTGTGATAACAGGTTATTTTACAGGGCACTTCTCTATACATATTCCAAAGACTGAAAAGATACAAATATTGTAAATACTGGTATTTTAGAAATAGAGGAAAATATTATGGCATAAAATAAGGCACTGGGTATATAGCTCTGCCAACACAATAATTCATAGTGCAACTGATATATCAACTGACATGGCAGTAGTAATGCTATGGGTGATAAATTTACTAATTAAGTGATCTTTGAAGATTATCTCTATTGATTTACTCAGTGAGGTTTCAGCAAACAACAAATCATCTACAGATGTTCTCTTACTCATGCCTTTATTCTGCTATAAAGAAAGCAAATGAAAAAGTAAAATGCATTTTCGCTCCCTTTCAATAAAGTGGATCAAGAAAAGAAGGCACCCCTGAAATCAGGACATGTTTTTAAAGATCTTGTGAGAGAAAGTTTCCCTAGTCAATGGGATGCGTGGATTTACCCCCTAGCTAGCCTCAGTGCTCTGAAGATTTTCTTTTTAAGTCTTATCCTAGAGAGAAATAAATCACAGAACTGGGACGGTAACCATGACAGTAAGGTGAAAGCTTAATGGAATCTCTGGATGTCTGCTTCACACTAAAAGCAAGAAAGCAGCAAATGAATCCTTCAGTTCCCTCCAGACCATTTGGAACAGACATTTGCCCCCTCTGATTATCTGTCCCCATGGCAGTGGCAATCTTAAAAACAGAAGCAACAGTATTTGAGCCATAATTCATTAAATGTTTTCTGTAATTACAAGGAAAAAGAAGCAATTCTGAGACAACATAAACACAGATCTGTATTATGGGCATGTTTATAATTTATAAATTTTTATTAATTTATAAATTTAATAATATTAATTAATTTCCCTTCAAAGCCAAATCGTAGCTAATATTACAATGATCTATTCAAGCTCACTTAAAACATATGAAAGACCCAATCCCTGAGAACAGAAAGCTGCTGACTTAGTGTTGTCTTGTACCATCCAACAAAACACAGTTAGCTCCCCTCTGGGCATAAGAATCACTTTGCTCTTAGGAAGAGAGCCAAAAGCTCAGAATCCTAGCAGGCAATAGAGGAAAAAAAAAAAAAAAAAAAAAAAAAAACAACTTTCTCCTCTAAATTAGCATAAAGTTTATTATTATTAGTGAGAGATTATAGAAATGTGTTCTCATACAAAAGTTTTGTTACAACACATTCTGTTGTGCCAAGAGAAGTACTTCTTTTTCTCCTGGAAAAAAACAAACCCCTAACTAAAACTAACAAATAAAATGAAGTGAAAAATTAGTTCCAATGACATTACATCTAAAGAGGTTGAGAACTTACACTTCTAAAGTAAATAGGGCTAACACAGAATATAAATACAAACTTGGCATATCCATATGTGACACATCTCTGCAGAAAGCAGATACTTATATCTGTTTTTGCAACCTTTCCTCAAAGTAAAAAATGCAAAAATGTAACCTAGATTCACTACCAAAAGAAAGAACAAAAAATCTGAATGGCATTCAAAACTATTAAAACCTTGTATGGCTCAGTTAGCCTTTATTATATTTACAGTTACAAAAACAGTCGAACAGAAAAGGAGAGCAGGGAAGAGAAAGCAGTAAATCTGTAACAGTAATTGAGTAATATATAACTGGCTGAATAAACAGGAAAAGAAAACAAAGAGCAGCTTGATCTGAAAGGGGGAGCTTAACCTTTGATACACTAATAAATCTAACAAATACTTAAAACTCAAGCAAAGTATGTTATCTCCACTAAAAATAAACTCTTAAATCTTTATCAAGAACTGCTAAAAAGGTTGCTCATACAGCTGTTTTTCTTCCATGACTAATAAGAAAAGTCAATTAAGGGCTGTAATAAATAAAACAAAGGGCTGTAAATAAACCAAAACCTGAATCTGTCCTTCTGGTTGTTACCCCCAGCCATGAAAGCAGGTATACTGCCACTGTTTTTTCAAAGCCTGCAGATGAAGCACCTAGCTCTGCCCTTGGCTTTTCCAGCTGCTATTCTGAACATCAATAGAAGTAAGAATTGTTAATAATCTGAGCTTTGCTGCTGCTGCTTTTTTCTCCTGCTCAAAATCATGTTTTAGAACTAACACTGAAGGCAGGGACTGGACAGATTTAGAGGCTGGGAAAGGTAAGGAAAAGAAAAGCAGAGCTGCTCAGCATCACAGCAGGCAGGAAAGAGGCCAATACAGACCCTTCCCTTTTCCCTCATAGACATACATGCCTCAAATACAGCTACGTGGCTGCAGATGGAGCTGGGTAACAGAGACAGTGCTGCAGGACAGCAGCTAAGAAACTCTACACTAACAGGCAACAAAATCCAACCCCTTTCCTTTTACCTGCTGTAGAAGGCTGGGTTTAGCTACAACAGTAGCACTTCCCAGCTGAAAATTCAGATACGGGAAAAATAACTGAGACAGCATGGCAATGCAACTTTAGAAAGCACTACAATTTATTTTCACTCTTTCTGGAGGCATTTTGAACAGAACAAGATTTCTCCCTTTTAGAAAGTTCTTCATTCACCAGAAACTTTCTCTTAGCAGTTATATCCTTTATCTACCTAGAGCTCGATAACACTTAAAATCTTTTGTATATTCATGTAAGCCAGAAATAGGAGAATTTATTAAACTGAAGAACAGAGATGACGTTAAGTATTGGAAGGGAATGGGATGCAGGAAAAGTTTCCTATCCTGAGCAAGATTAAATATAAATATCCTTCTGTGTGCATCCATATGCATTTATACACAGATGCCATGAGACATAGGATGAATTATAGAGTTCTGACACAGACATCCTTACTCATTACAGAAAAGAAAGTTAAAAAAAGAGTTAAGTTCAGGCTAAGAAATTATACTAAGCCAGGCATTTTCTTTATTAGATTTCAAGAGGAGCATCTTGGCAGTTAGTATCTGGAAAAGTCTGATGTAATAAAGAGGTTTTTCCCAAAATATAAGGACTGTAGCTATAGTTCCTCAAAAATAAACACCAAGCACCTTGGGCTAACACTGCTTGCAAAACTAAGAAATGCTTTGAGTACCCACCTGCCACCAGATTCTCCTGCTCATCCTTGACAGATGCCTCAACATTCACTCTCCTGCCTGCATCTTCCTCAAAAAACAAAGTGGAAAAACCTTTTCACCTTCAGGACCGGGGTCACAGGGTCCGCACATGCCAGTGCTGCTGGAGCCCCAGCCTCATCTCAGGCACTCTGTGAGGGGCAATGGGCTGCAGGGAGCAGAGCCACAGGTCCCATGCCAGCTCTCTGCACAGCACAAACCCCACCAGCAGTTTTCATGGCCACCTTTGCAGCCACTGACAGCAGGAGCTCCCTCCCCTTTGTCCTACTTTAACTTTACCTCCCTCACTGGCTGGCAGCTCAGGGCCCCAAAAGAATGCTCTTATTTTGTCTCCAAATTCATCACCATCTGCACACAAGAGCTGTCATTATCTGCCTTCTCTGCTTATATCTGCACACTCAAAATCCCCGGGATCCAATCTTTACTGGATTCTTGCAATGGGCAAGAGGTCAAGAAAGAAAGAAGGTATTTCTTTGAAGAAAGTTGGCTCCCTGCATGAGAGTAACACCAAAGCTATTTTAGATGACCAACTACTTCCATTAGAAAGCACTTTCTGTACTTTCTGCACTTTCTGTAAAGAGGTACAGGTCTTCAGCATTAAATATAAAGTAGGAAAAAATTGTTATTTATATAATAATGATTATAATCATCAGCAGTCTGCTCTGGGGAATGTAAAGAAACTTTCCTAATGAATGCTTTGCTCTTAACTACTATACTTAACTTCTATATTCATTCCTGCATCCTTTCCAACTTTCTCTACCACAGCCAATTTACAGCCAACTTCACTGCTGAGTTTTTAACATGCTAACAGATGACACAGTGCCAGCAGCATACTGACTTCTACAAGAAGTTCAACTAAACACTGTTTCTTGAATTCTTTCTTTGTAAGCAAAGTCCATCTTGGCATTGTGCAGTCATTTAGGAATTTAGTCTAATTAGGTACTACAAAATATTTTAATGCTTTTAATGATAAATGAAACCAGTATACAACATACAAGGAACACACAGAATACACAGCAAGGATTGTGTTAAATTAAACACTAAAAGAATCAACCTTTACAAGGTATTACGACAAACTAGTGAGGCTTTTTTCCCCAACAAAATTTTCGATCAAAATTTGATGAATGCAAATCAAAGAAACCAGAAAAGCCTAACAGTCTGCATGAAATAATAATTTAAAATAAACTCAAAAATCTCATTTGAGCTTCTAGGCACCAAATATCAACTTAAAATAAAATAGGCAACAGCTTCTATACCCAGAAATGTACCACTAAAATTTCAGCAGTCTGCCCACATGGATAAATGTCTTTACACACCCTCACCTCATAGCCAGAGATAGGATTTTAAAAACCTTTTGTAGAATTATTACATACTTTGTCTGAAAAAGGATAACAGATGTTAATTCTTCTTTCTTCATAGAGGCCTATATTTAACTTCTGGCAATTCATGTACTGCCCTACACCTGAATTCTGAGTTCCCTCCAAGAGCAAGGATTTACATGCTACTGCAGGTATATAATTATTGGTAAATGTTTTTTCCTCAAAGCAGATGTTAGGACAACACAACACAAGCATTACTTTGAAGCCATTCTGCTGTCTCTAAGCAAGGAGAAGGAAGAGCAATAGCTAAAACTGATTACACCACTTTTCTGCTTACCCCCACGACAGCACAGGTGGTTCTCCTCCATTAATATCAGGTGGGTTTCCCTCAATAGCATATGGAGGTAGAAGGGAGGGTGTGAGTGTGGGCATGGCAAGCTCGCTGTTGTTCCTTTCCCCTGCTGCTGACATCAGTAAGCCTACCTATTTATAATCCCACCACCTGACCAAACAGCCCACAGAGTACATCTAGAGATTTGTACAGCCTGTAATCCTGACATATCTACTTCAGCCAATTCAAGAGAGAGTATTAAGTAGCTTTGTTATGTCTTCTGTGGCTTTATACCATAAAAAGAACCCAATCTTGTTTTCCGCACCCCTTTTATTTGCACAAAACAAGTTTAATGGGGACTTTTAGAATTAGGACTGATCCTTCCATCCATGCTTTTTAGCCTTCCCCATTTCTCTGCCTGTGAGATATTCAACTACACACCTCAGGTGAGCATATTCTAGGGATTAACGGAATATTTGGACAACAGAGGCAAATAGCCACTTACATCCAGTTAATTTGATCAGTACTACCTACAAAATTATTGAAATTTAAGATTTTCACAAATCAATTTCACAAGCTAAGTACAATATTTACACAAAACAAAAAAAACCCAAACCCCAGAAGTGTTTAAAGTAGGATAATTTACAGAAGCTTGACCTCATTGTCAATTAAAACCAGAAGCTGCTTAAAAGCAGCTTAAAAGCAATTCTTGATTCAGTTACCTCTTCCCAAAGTCAGCCCTAATGCATTCAGCCATGGGAGGGCTGCTGCAGCTGAGTCTGCCCAGGGATTGGGAAGGAATGCAGTCAACAAACTCTTTGGGCAAGTGCTGTCATCAGTGGCAACATCCTGTGGCAAGTTTCTATCATTGGTAAATGTTGCTTCTAGATCTGTATCAGGCCACAGTGTGTTTCAAAGTGGCTTGAGTACTGCTTCAGTGAGAGGAAAACATCTGTGCGAATGCCTGTGTGCATTCAGTAAACATTACTGACAGCTCCTTACCTAACCTCTCCTACCTGACAAGTCCTATCACCAGCATCCATCCCACACTAATGGCAGACAAAGGAGAAATCTAAATCACTTTGCCTAAATATGTGTAAGGTTGAATGAAACAATCAGATGAATGAGTTGTGTTCCAAGCCAAATGCACTCTGCAACCAAACTTCAATAGCTAATAATAAAAGAATAAAAATCCTTTCACTTGGTTGATAAGCTGGAGAGGGCACTTATGCAGATGCAGCCAGACTGCCTGTAAGAGAAGTCTGGTGAATGCAGGGTATCAATGTTGGCTAAAACACCAACACATTGCCTGGGGCTGGTATGTCCCACACAGGACACAATATTTGAGAATTTCCCTTGGAGGCTTTAATTATTATCTGGGTCTAATGGCTACAGCTAGAAATATAAAATTAATACTCACAGTAATAAAATATCTGATTTTTTTTTAGTCCTGCTGTTCTCTTGTGGTTATATCCTCCTTATGGCTTTCATAGATTAAGCAGTAAATGAAACACTGTTGAAAAATTACAGGGCTTTCATTCAGGGAGTGACCAACAGAATTTAATACCACTGACCACAAGCAATGTGTCCAACATTTCAGATAACCTGAAAGGACAGAAAGGTTTTCCATTTCTACAAGTATGTACCTGGCCATTTTTCCTTCATCTGACAGAAGTTACTTTTACTTTTTCCCCAGTATCACTCAGCATAGATTAGTTGCTTTTGGGGGATTTGGGGTTTTGTGGTTTTGTTTTTAAGTTCCCAGAACACTTGTGGAAGGTAAAATTGTGAGAATTTTAAAAGATGAGGAAGGAGGAGAGTTTACACAGGGTATTAGGAAAAAAAAAGAAAACCAGCATATAAAGGAATGGAATATAAAAGTTTTCTTAGAATTTGGTTTAGAATTTTAAAGTACTTCTCATTTTTTCAAAAAACACCTCCTTAAAACCCTAACATTGCTGTGCAGCAACACTTCCTAAACTGAAACATAACTGGATAGTATCAGCAATGAAAGGCAATGTATGTGAATGCACCATAAACTGCATTTATTTTGTAATTTCTAGTGTGTATATTTAAAAGAAGCAAAAGAATTCTATTTTGCTAAATAGAATGACATTATAGGGCTAAATATAAAACACTTCCCAAAGAGGTCCCTGCACAGGTCACATTTGAGTACAGATCTTTCATGCTCTTTAATCCATAGAATTGTTTCCAAGACCAAAAAGTTAAGACTTTCATGTACTAGTGAGAAAAGAAACCAAAACTTTCCCAGTATTCATTTTTAGATCTTTAATACTTTCAGATTCATTTGTCTGTGATTACCCAGAGCATTTAGTAACTTTGCAATGGGGGAAAAAAACCCAAACAAATAAAAAAAAAAAATAAAAAAATAAAAAAAAAAATCCAAACCAACAAATCCAAACCACAACTCCAAAAGCCCAATGCACTGTTAGAACTCAATGGATGTGTATCAATAATGTGCATATGGAAAAGCTTCTCAGAATTATCTGGTTTTAAAAATCCCCAATAGGGACCTATCTGTGAAGCTGGGAACTCTTTGAACCTATTGTCTCTATTATTATAAACAAAAGACCCTTTTTTAAAAACTATCTGATATTTCATCTAACCCTGAAATAGTAATGATTATTTTTTTAAAATAAAATCCATGAGAAACTAAAGTCTGAAGGCAGCAAGAATAGCAGGAAACACAGATTACCAGGGTAAGAATGGCATTCTTCCAGATTAAATTCTTGCTTTATTAAATACTGTTTTTTCAGTTACTTTGTACCTACTGAGCTGACATCTCATCTGTGATGGACCAAACACAGTCAAGTCTCCAGGGAAAGGCAAATAGTTTCATTAAATCAAAAAGAATTGGAGAAGAGAGCATAGACAAGAGGCTTCCAAATGGCTTGGAAGCAGACCAAGAACTTCTTTTTCTTATGCAAGTCACACATCAATGAGGAAAGTTGATTTCAGATTGTATCATCACTCAACAATAAGTGGGACTTAATTATTTTACCATTAGTTAACATTTGTTTTATGGATTTCATGCATCATCATTAGACAATTCTGCTGCACGTTCTCTTTTCACTTACTTGGAACTGTTAGAGCACGACAAACTGGCATATGAACAAAAGGTAAATGTAAGAACACAGTGACATGGTCTCAGCTCTCATGTCCCTTAAGCCATATCTCACCTTTGACCATTCTCTTGATCCTCTCTGAACCTTCTTCTGTTTACTACATCCCTGTGGATACAGCAGAGACCAGAACCACACATTGTATTGTCATTAGAGATTTACACATTGGTGAAATCCTGATTTCCCTTTTGTTCTCTCTTCCTTTGCTAACACACATGGCAAACTGATTTGTAATAAGTCTATCTAAAGTGAATTTAATCTCATTTAATTTGAAAAACCTTTCTGCAAGTCTTCAGAGTCTTGCAGTATTCTTATTACAATGAATAAACTTTATACCATCATCAAAGTATCACCTTACTATTCAGCTGCTTTCCTAGACTATTAACATGCTGAACTAAGAATTCCAGCACAAATCTCTATGAAACTCCAAGGTGGCATGCCCTCACCTTCATAGCAGAATATTTCCCATATTGCTGTTCTTATTGGGACAAAATACATAACCACACATGATTTACTGTCTTATGTCATGTTTGTTCAGTTTCCTAAAATGCTTTGGGGTAGAGACCAGGAGCTTTTTGAAGGACAGGCATGACTGTGCCAGCAGAATTTTCCTCTTACATTTGGTCAGCACAGCTCTTAGATTGTTTCCTCTTTCCACAGCCTTAAGATATTTACATTGCAGATACACTGCTACACCAAAGAGCTCCTCATTTTAGTCTAACTGCACTTGTTGCATGAGTCTGCAAAGAAACAGATTTTCATTGTTAAATTCAGCCACCAAATTTAGTTTGTCCTGAATAAGGTAGTACTTAAGAGCCCTCACTTCAACAAAGCTGTCGTAGCTGCTGTGCAAATTCAGAACAAAAAATAGAGTGTGCCTACTCAGAAAACATCTGTGGACTAAAGGACAAGCCTTTATTTTGGGCTGCTGTTGACAGTATGACTTTAATAAATTGGTGCCTGACCCTTTCACTTCTCCACCTCAATTACAACCTTTTATCCTCATTTTAACATTATAGATCCAACTACCACAAAAGGCAATACACAAACACTAGCACATCTTTTTACTTTACTGCATCATTATTTCATCACAGCTACAAAGGATCTGCCTCGTTATTCCAAAGCTGTTTTAGTATTTTCTTCTGTGCCAATTCTCTGTCCCAGCCCTCCAAGAGCAAATTCTGTAACTTTTTCCACAGGACCACCACCAGCTTCTCACCTACAGCTCTGCTTGCATTACACCTACAAACATCTGACAATCAAGAATCTGTAACAGTTCTCGGTAAGTGCAAGGTAATACATGACAACTTCCCTCACTGTTAAGGTCAAAGAGAATCAGAAATCAAGGGACTTGGGATAGCTTGTGACAATTAAGCTCTGCAGAGGAACACAAGGGTTAAGGTAAAAAAAAAGCGGCAAAACCTCCAGTGTCTGATGAGCAAAATGCTTCAATTCATGTTCACTAGGTCAGAGAATAAGAGCATAATAATAGATGTAATCCACAAGTTTTTTAACTTAAAATCAAAAAGATCTGCAAATCGCAAGACAATCCTCAACTTCTGAGTTTTGGTGATTCAGACATACCTGAGAGAACATGACACTAAAATTAAGAGGTCATTAATCAACCAGAAATTATCATTTTGGGAAGACAGCATCTCCTCCCCCCCAGGTACACATGTTACAATACAGAAATGTCTAAAAGAACCAAATACATCATTTAAGGAGTAAATGACACGTTACTACATGTTGGTAAGTAGTACTGACATGGGATTAATGGTTGCCAGGAATAAAAGATAAGAAATAAGAGACAAGTAGGGTTGTAAACTGGGGGGCTTTTTTCCAATATTTTTCATGTCAATTTGATATAGCTAGGTAGCAGATGGTATATTATGTTTTTCCTGCCTTGACACAATTTAAAAACAAGTTACAGATGGCTATAATGAAATCCTCATTAACACACTTACATTTTCACAGTTCAGTATAGCAATAATGAAACTTTCAGGTCTGGAATTTCCTGTTGGTTAATTAGTGGTTAGGTTAATAGCCTGAGGAAGTGCACAACCCAAAAAGTTTCCTTGTTTTTTAATCATATAATTACTACATTCATATTTCTGGGAAAGCTCTCAAGATAGATTAAATGTCACAGTAAAGCTACCTTTATAGCCCTCGTTTCATGAAACAACTGTATTATTTTATTTAGCAGAGCACGTGGGCAGGAAAGCCATGAACAGGCCTAATTCAGCTGCCTCTGGGAAGTTTCAGCTTGTTTTTATTTGAAGATACCAACTCAGAGAATTCTGCCAATACACATTACACCAAACAACCCCTACAGAAAAGCTAGGATCAACAACTATGGGTCCATTGCTACAATGTTATTGTAAGATCATTGATTAATGCTTACATAATTTCCTTTTTTAAATTCCAGTTTATAATCATCCACCAAAGCTTGAAATATGACATATGGTTAACAGCATACAGTGTTATCCCTAAATCTCCGATCAAGAAAGAGGAAGAAAAAAAATAGAATCACCACAAGTCTGCTCAGGTTATTCCCACAAGGTAACTTGTGCCACTAAACAGTATGGTTAAAATAGATGTGGAATTCAGCACTAAAAACCCTCTGGATTTTAGTAACCCCATGCTAGTTACTGACAGATAATACTGAGCCCTCATTACTATGCTCCTCATGCTGTGAGGCCAAGGCTGCAGCCCAAGCCAGGAGAGCCTTCCCCAGCTGCAGCCACACCTCCAGGTAACCCACACGGTGCTACAGAACAAGGAACAGGCTGGATTGGCAGAACCAAGTCCCAAAATATTATTGAGTGCTGTTGCTGAATTTTTTCCTTTTTTAACTGCCATCACCGAAAAACTACATTGAGAAATTGTGACACCCTTGATACCAAGCACAAATGGAAACAACCACACAGCTCTTTGAAGTGCTAGAGCTTCAAAAGAGGATAGCCACTGCCAAGCCAAAATGAAAGCAACATAATGTGGAAAACCTGACTTGTAACTGAAGTTACATAGTTAAAAAGAGACAGTATTCAAATATTTAAAAGTTATAATGCTAAAAATATCTTTTTAGTCCAGCAAGCTCACTTATGACAAAAAATGGCAGGGAAAGAGAATTTGGATTCTTTAACAAACATATTATTATTATTATTATTGTGACTGTTCTGTAAGATTTTGCAGTCCTCCCATTTCTTCACAATTTATTTTGACATCAAGAAGAATTGAAGCAGTATTATCTTCCTTAACCAGCAGAAGTGTGAGCCATGTGCTTCAAAGACTTTCTGGAACACTAAATGTCACTACTGGGCTCAACAGTGAAGCACACCCAGAAACCAACTGAAAAAACCCAGAGTGTTTTTAGAGATCTGAGAACTACAGCTCCAAGCAGAGTTACAGTGCTTACTTAAACTCACTCTGAGACCTAAAAGGCCAATAAAAAAAGAATAGACAAAATAAAGTTCGTACAATTATTTTCTTCTGGAAAAATCCCATATTTTAATTCAGAAACTTTCAGATCCAGTTTCACATAAAAGTTTCCATAATCATATCCATTCCTTGACAGAACAGTCTGTACTGTGACAGATCTTTCCATGGCAGTGTTGCAGCAAGAAACTTAGATGTATCTTTATTAAGAAGTTAAACAAGTTTCTTGTTCTGAATATTTACACACAGTATAATGCAGTTTTTATAAACCTGTACCTCTGGTCAAGTTCAGTAACACTCGCTCCTCTCCTTCCAAACCAAAAAGTTAAAAATAATTCAATGTTTCAATGTTAAACAGTAGTTTGTGAAGCAAGGACACCTTGTGTTTGCTTCACCCAGTTTTTTCAGAACAGTGCATCTGGTGCAACAGTTCTCTAAATGTTTTGAGTTTCTGTGCTTATCAGATGACAAAAAGAAAAAACTGATGTATATTACAGCTATAAACATTTCATGCAAGTTTCAGGTACTTCTTCAAAGTGAAGTATACACAAGACAATGGAAAAATTTTACAGTTAATTGTACAACAAGGATAAATACTAAAATCTGTATAGAAAGTCCTCCCCTTTTTAATAATGACATCAAACAACTCAGAAAAGAGTTTTGTTTTACAGAAGCTGAAACTGATTTACAAGAGGGTCTTCATTCCAGAGGGGTAAGAAGTTGTCTGGGGAGCAGAAGTCCATGGCTATAAAGACACCATGTGGGAAGGAACATGCCTCAGGTTCCCTGCTACCCACGAGACAGGAATGAGGAAGAACAGTACAGTGTTCTTTCTTACTTAATGCACACACACATAACCTCCTTAATTCAGATAAGCATCTGTCTCTGGAATCAGTATCTCAGACAACTAAACTGGGAGTCTATCACACCAGCTTCAGCAAGGGGCAGCTAGTCATGTTTGGGGATTCGCTCTGTCATTCTGTAGAAGAAAGTTCAAATCAACAAAGACAAAAAAATAAAAGATAAGGAAGCATGCCTTCCAAAATACAGACTTCATTGTAGATAAAGCAGAGATTACAAAACAGTTTAAGATATCTCAAAGAAGGTCAAATGTAACAGGTCGGTATGATGAAAATGCTATTTGAATAAAATGCCTTTACCAAAACCATGCTGGCTGGGACAGACCCCTGGTTGTCCTGTACAGGCCACGGGATATCACCCTAGGTAATCTGCTCCATAACCTTCCCTCACTGCATGGGGCACTCAGCTCATCACACAGTGCCACACTGCCTGTGCAGACTGCCTGCTCTGTGTAATGGCACAGAAATGCTTAACAAAATTTTGTATACTAATACATTCCAAGTTCTTAAAAAGCTCTACACATAATTGGACCATGCCCTTGATTTTCTACCTACTCAGAAAAGATTAAAAGAGGAGGTGATACAAATATTTAAACATTGCTATTTGCATGTACTACAAGCATTGAAATTCTACCAAATGTTAAAAAAAAAAAAAGACAAAGAGAGAAAAAAGAATATATTTACCCATGCAGTAATAGGCCTCTTATACCACAGCAAATTCACAAGTGTTTCTAGGAGTTTTGTCTTGATGTGCTGCTAGGAAAGCATTACATTATTACGGTTACAGTCACAGAACATTCGGTCTGCTTTATCTGCACTATCTAGTTTTAAACTTAAGAATACAATACACCAAGTTTTTATGACTCAGTGTTTTACTGTAGTCCTGTAAACATTGCAAGCCTTCACAGAAAGTCACTTACTGAAACTGTTTGCCTATTTCTGGCAATATTTTTTCCTATAAAACATCAAACATGCCAAGTTAGAGACAGCATATCCCAGAATTCACCCTTGGGTGTTTTGCTGTTTTCCTCTCCCTTTCTTGGCTGTTTGTACAATCCAAAATGTGTCTTTTCAGAAAGGTTCCTAGAGACATAAAGTTTCAGAGGTGAGCTCTTGTGACAATATTCGAAATTTTATTTTAAAGAAAGACATAAACAAAAGCACCTATCAAAAGGATATGGCAGGGCTTACAGTACAGTCATGAATTTCACTTTCCCAATACTGAGCAGCGATTTTTCTCTCCCAGTGAAAAGCCACCAGAGACACTAACATGCTTTTATCCAAAATACTGGACTAATGAGACTTTGATACACAGTATACAAGTTTGGAAATACATTTTCTTAAGATACAATTACAGTTCTTTTGTGATCCATGGTATTGAAGGAAACATTGTGCCAGGCAAAATACTAGTACAGGAAGGACGCAAGTCAGGACCTGCGATACAAAAGAACCTACATTTATGTGTACATTTCCATATTCTGTCTTCTGTTTTAAGGAGTAATCAGAACTGTCCATGACTTATACTTGAGTCATTTTAAAAACAAAACTCAAAATCTAAAGTACAATTAACTTGTTCCTTCCATTGCAATTTATAGCAGCCTGAAGGACTTCTGCAATAATTAACTTAAATCACAGACACTTAAGTTTACAAACCCCAATATCTCAGAAGCCTGATGTGCAGTAGAAAGAACGAGCTTCCTAAATAAAGACAAGTAATCAAACTTGTGTCTCTGTTCCTCACATCGCTTTCTACCTTTGCTTGCTCCTACCTGGAAATCCAGACTTAGCAAAATATGTATTTAACTGCAAGTACTATAGGACTCAAAACTGTTTGACAAAAATAAAGTACGGTTTTTAACTGTTTCTTTGTAAGCTTTTTGTCCATCATTTTGCTTAGATACATACTGCATTTGTAATAAAAATGATAAATAAAAGAAGCACAAGCCTGC